CAGTGGTAAACCACGTGCGTGGACCTTGCCGAATATACGGCAAGGAACTTCGTGCTGTTGACTCCCCGTTGTGCTCGCAGTACTATAACCTAGTAGTTGTAATTTATCCTGTAGATAATGTACCAGGAGGAGCTACTGAGCTTTGGGACTCCCCATTGACAGTAGGAGACAGTCTGAAAAGCTACAGTTCTCTCAGCGTGATTTTTGATCCCAGTAAGGCTTCTACTGGGCCACATTTAGTGCCTCGACCCCCCCACTTTAAAGAAATTGTGTACATGAGGTTCTATGCGCTCTTGCGCATTCAGCGCGTACGTTATAGGCAGTATAACCCTCGGTGTAGGGTAGAGGAAGCGTTGAAGAGGTCGAGACTATATACGTGCCGAGGTCCGGCAGATGCCAACCATGTGCACCTGCCGTTTTGGGCGGAGAATCCTGCCTTTTTGAGCACGCGCGAGAGCCTGGGGGGGACTTCTGCGACGCTGATACTGAACGGGTACAAGCCTCCATTAAAGACAGTTGCTCGTCTACTAAGTCTTTTTTAAGAGGCGCAGGATCAAGCCTAAGTCCGGGCATGCATGAGGCTCGTATCCGTGCAGTTTAGTAGAGTTGTTACTGATAGTTCGGACGTACCCCTGTGCCTGTCAGTAACGAGGTCCATCTCGCGCGAGTAGTGCATCAGCGAGACGAGTCCTTCAGAGAGGTTCAGGTTGCGCAAGAGAAGCTCCAATCGCATGACTCCCAAGGCTGGAGGTAGAATGGACGCGGGCTCTCCGAGGGCGTGCCTATTGCATGGTGCACCCATCTACGGCAAACACATGGTATTCCAACCGATACATTCTGCTGACTCGCCTGCATATAAGTAGTCCCAAGACCAGCTCTCGTCCTCAGTCCTGCCTCAATCAAGAGCACAGTGACACTGGAATATTCTGTTAGCCGATTCGTAAAGGTCGCAGCTACGCTGGAGGCCATGAAATAGACATGATTGGTACTAAATTTCAGACTGACCTCATGCAGATCGTAATACTGTCGTAAGGATTACTCAGAGTGTCGTAGGCACGGCACCGAGACAGCTGAGCAACACACGCAAGAAAGCAGATCACAGGTGTCCGCCCCGAGGAGTACCCTAGACTTGACATATCCGGCGGATCATGCTGAGCCCTATACCATTGAAGTAGGCAGCTCTAATGAAGTCGTGAGCATTTATGCTGAGGCTCAATCCGTGCAGGGCATGAAAGCCTAATCTTGCAAAACCTAAGGGATATCCAAAATTCAGTAGTCTCAACCAAAATCGCTTCAAACTATCTGCGAATGCACACAATGGCATGCTCACAACGGCACAAAATCTGAAGTACGAGGATGTCTCACTCGTCTGTTCAGCATGCCCATGGACCAACAGCCAACAGCACTGAAAGATGGAGAAGTCCCACAAGTTTTACTATTGCGAGGTCCGTGAGGCTCAAATGGACCCACAGTAAAAAAAAAATTAAGCCCTACGGGCATGGTAGTGCATCTGAATCAGCTGATCGACGTGGGATTCACTTTGCTGCGAGAGGCGGACATCGGACTTGAGGAGCGACCTCATAAGTCCTTAGTCACGACTATTACCATGCTGCTCGGAAGAGACGCGTCCTCCCGGCATTCAAACCACTGAGCCCGCGTAACCGGAGGACGCGCTCTCGCGGCATGGAGCTTGTGGCAAATAAGAGAGCGCGTAAACGACACGCAATGTCAAGTACAATCTTCCCCGTTATTTGAACCACAGTCATGGTTTCCCTCGAGGAGGTCCACTGGTCAAACTCGCGTATCGCATCGGAGCTGCCGCCGGGTCTCGTTGCAGTATTTGTTGGAGCGACAAGCGGAATCGGCGAATATACGCTGAAGCAATTCGCAAAGCATGCGCGCCTGCCTCGCGTTTACTTCGTGGGCCGTTCGCAAGAGGCTGGCGAGCGTGTCGCTGCCGAGTGCAAGGCGCTGAACTCCGAGGGTCACTTCAACTTCATCAGGGCTGACATCAGCCTCATCCGAACCGTTGACGAAGTCTGTGACGCGATCAAAAAGAGAGAGGAGGCCATCAACCTGTTGTTCAATAGCGCAGGAGTACTGATCATGGGCGAAGGTGCGTACCCGATTCTCTGTGGAACATCACGGCATTCACAGACTGACGAGGACTATAAAAGAAACTTCCGAAAACCTCCCTCTCATATCTTCGATCGTGTACTATTCACGGACACGTTTCATCATGAATTTGCTACCCCTTCTTCGACGAGCCACCGGCCTCCGGCGCGTCGTCAGCACTTTCGCATCTGGCGTGGAGGGGGCAATCGACACGACAAATTTACCAGCTAGGAACCTGTCCCTCATCCCGTGGCGCAATCAGATGGTCTCAATGATCACACTGTCCCTAGAAGCCTTTGCGAAGCAAGCCCCTGAAGTGAGCTTTATCCACAACGGCCCCAGTGCGGTGAAGTCGGGCATATCGCGCGACGTCCGGGGCCCCGGCATGTTCATCGTGAAGCTTGCCTTCATGGTTATCAGCCCCTTCGTAAATATCGACCCCGAAGAGTGCGGAGACCGCCATGTGTTCCTCGCGACGAGCGCAAGATATCCTCCGCGTCAGAGCGGGGACTCGGCCGCTGCTGGGGTGTCGTTGCAGGGGCAGTTGGCCGTTGCCACCGGGACAGATGGGAAAGTGGGAAGTGGAGCGTACGCCATCGACCCCAAGGGAGAGAGCGTTGCAGAAAAGATTGAGGGCTTGTTCACTCGGTTCAGGAGCGATGGGACAGCAGACAAGGTGTGGAAGCACACGGAGGAGGTATTGAAGAGCATCACGGAGTCTGGGCATGCATGAACGCGGGCTGGTTAGAGTAGTCGAATCGGACTCACTTTAATCTTCCGGCGCAGTCCTGTTGCTTGTTCATAATGACGTCCACCGTGCGAGTGCACTGAATGAGACAGGTCAAAACTCGTCCTATAATCTGCATAGTATCAGCGATGATGGTCACGACCAGGAGGCTCGCCTGAAAATTGAGCTCAGGTAGTTATGTGACAGGCATGCATGCCGTCCTGACCAAACCGATGCCGTGATAATCAACCCTCGTACCGATAAACCCTGTTAGAAGAGGGGTGTACCGGTGATATCCTTGTTACCTTGCTTGTAGAGCAAAACAGGTGCAGGGAGGGTTGCAATCGAGAACAAGCCTATTCCCGGGTCTGCTGAACTTCTCCAAACATGCTGGTGCATGCACCCATACCCTTCTTGACCACGTGAGTACCGGTAGAAATGCGGATGAAGGCATCCTGTCCTGTGAACCTCAAACAGATCTTGCGGACGTCAGGGCCCTTATTCAGTTTAGCACATAGGAGACAAAAACCGAGCTCAGGCGCACGTTCACATTCGCTGCTCGACAAGTAAATTCGAGGTCTGGGATAAAGAGTCCGTAACCCTTTAAAGCTGAGCAGACAATGGCGCACCTCTCTAAGTCTTGCATCCGTCAAGACTCCGACGTGCGGATGTGGAGGTCCGGAGTGCGGAAAGCTAGCAGGTAATCAATTGTAATATTCAACCCATATCAAAATGGAAGGCAGGCGGTCTGATTCAGAATGCATCAGGATTGTCATGAGTTCTGCGCTGTACCGGCTGTATCCTCTGACATTCGATGCAACATCGTCGAGGTCAGAAGGGAAGAACAAGGCAGCAGCGACGACGGTACTTCGAAACCGGTGTCAAAACAGAGTAGCCAAAGTTTGCCACTTGGTCCGTGCGTAGCCTCCTATAGTATATATGCTGCACCCCGGCATCCAGACACCTCATACTTACCTTGCGGGCGTGTTCCCCTTCACGTACCTGGGAATACGGGCCGCGGGGGCTCTCCATAGCACGGCGACCCTGTCCGCAGAGGGCCCTCGCGGTTTGTATGGGCTTCGGCTCATGCACTCGCTAAATATTTCCCTGTCCTGCTTCGGCCCTCGGGCTGGGCAGGCCATGTTTTATGTGGGTTCGTCCTCCTAACCCTAACCTTAGCGAAGTGCATTGGGTATAGAATACTTAAACCAATCGTATGTAGTCAATCACCCGATATATTTATGTTCCCCCTCGGGCTGCCATCGAGTCCAAAGATTTTGTCCGCGATAATAGAATACAATTCATCACTTCATCGTTCAGCCTGAGAGATATACATGCGTGCAAAAGGTATTACATAGATATCGTCACGAAATAATAGATAGGGATCTTGGAACGCAGTCCAGCGAGTCATGAAAGGCATTACTCCTCTTCCACCTTCAGCCTCAATCCACCCACTGTACTCTGGTGAGACCATCGCGAGCCTACCATGCCCGCATCGCAATCCACGCTCGGTCGCGGCTTGAAGCTCTCCCTCTTAGCCCTTGCGCCCTTTACCGCACCCCGAGTGGTGCTAGCTGGGATCGCTGCAGAGGCTACGCGGGCCGGATATGCACCATACCCTGGCTGAGACGCAGCCGACGGAAGCCTTCCGTGCCCCAGCGCATAATGCTGCGTGCCCGGTTTTGGCACTGGAATCGTGACAGCACGCGGTAACGACGACGGCGTCGACTTTACCGGCAGCCCCGATTTCACAGGCGACGACCCAGGCGCGCCGTGGTGCCCATGGGATTTCGAGCCCGTGCTCGACGCCAGCCGCGCACGGCCCGCAGGCGCGTACTGGTTCGTATGCGCCGAGGTAGAGTCCCCGAGCCGCGCGCGCTTGCTTGACTGCGACTGCCCGAGGCTGCTGCCGGGTCGCACGGCAGGGGTGACCGTACCGCGCGAGTGTGAAGGACCTGCGGTCGAAGGTGTCTTTGCCCGAGGAGGGACGGACCCGGCACGCGAGTTCGCGCGCCGCTTGTTCTCTTTCTCGGTGGAGGATGCCCCTACGGCTTCCATGAGAATGCGGAGGATGGGTTGGCCGTGCACTAGGAAGGGCTGGCCGGTCTGCTCTTCCCAGGTTGGTATGGATGACAACAGGTCTTGCTCGAGCTGCATTCCAGTCGTCAGTGCTAGTCGTAATCGCTAACATGACGCAGACACACCCGTGGCTTTTCCTTCGTCACACGCTTCCTCATCTTCTCCTCTCGCAGCAATCGACCGGGATCTCGAGGCCCTCTGCCAAGTAATCGGCTCTGATCTGAAGCTGCGGCTGCGAGCTCCTTCTCCTCTTCGCATATATCGAAGTACTTCTTGATACTAGCAAGAAGAGGTGCCTTAGCTCGCTTCTCTTCCTTCAGCCTCTTGATCTCGTCCTCATGGAGGATTAGCAGCTCCTCGGTATGCTCATCTAGAAGCGGAGTCCACTTCAGTTTCGCAAGCCAAACGAGGTCCAGGCTACTCACCATCGAAGAAGGGGGCAAAATCCGCCTTCTCCTCATCACCCACCATCAGCTCCTCCCACAGCCTCTCAATCTCCTCGCGCGCATTCATCACAAACACGCCCATCCTCTCCCTCTTCAGCTCCAGCATCCTTTCCAGCTCTTCCTCGTACGCACTGACCACCTCTTGCGTGCTCCCGCGGTGCGCCTCGACAAACCCGTCCATCTCCGCATCCGCGACGCCGAGTCGGCGCCACAGCGCCTCGAGCTGGTCGTACATCGCCTGGATGTGCGCCTCGCGCCGCCGCTTGACGTCCTCGAGCTCCGCGAGCGTCGCGGACGCCCATGCTAGCAGCCCCGGCGTAGGCTCGACGCCCTCAAGCACGGCCTTGGGGGTTTCGGCCTCGGCCTCTTCGAGCCGCGCGACGAATTGCGCGAAGATGCGCTGGTAGGTGAGGTCGGAGGGGATGGGGAGAGGGTCGTCGGATGAGCTGGCGGAGGACAGCATTAGGGGGGCGAGGCGATCGGCTCGGGATGCGGGGGTTGGGGTGGAGATAGAGCTGGAGAGGAATGGGTCGGGGGAGGTACTCCTGAGAGAGCTCGAACGCGGGAAGTGTGGGACGGCGAGGGAGCTGCCGAGATGTGACGAGGAGGCGGAGGAGGAAGAGGGAATGGGTGGGAGCTCGTCCAAGGACGGAGGCACGATCCCCAGTTCCGTGTACAGCCAGTCGATCTGCACCATCATTCCGTGCAGTTGACTTAGCCGTTTGGACTGATATCGTGGTCAGGAGTCTATAAGCAGTTGACATGGCGTCCTTGGACTTACGACTTCGCTCTTTCCCCTCACTAGCTCTTTCTCCAGTCTAGAGAAGCGCTCCGGCGTAACATCGCGATGATGCGAAGGGTCATGAGGATCAACACCATTAGCAGGTGCCGGCTCAAGAATCTCTGGTGCAAAGAATTCGGGGCCTAGTGTTCGTGACAGCGCAACTATCCGGTTAGTCAGTGCTGACAGCTGTTCTAGTTTGGTGTGGTATAGCTGAAAGGTCTTCGTAAATTGCCGATCAGCTAGAGATGAAGAGTCATACGTACTTGTCTCAGCTTCTCCTGGTACTCTCCCAGCAGCTGATGTCGTTTGGGAAGGACGTGTTCCTTCCGTAGCTCGCCAACACTCGCTCCTGTTGCCTTCACATTCGAACCCAGCGCATTGCCGTATCTAATGCACTCTTGTTCGATAACTGCGCACTTCTCCGTCCACTCTTCGACCTGCTTCCGCCGAGATTCAATCTGAGCCTCAACGCATTGCGTGAGCTGCTCCTGCAGAGCCTTGAGTTCGTCGGCGAGGGCGGTGGGTGGCAGGCCCAGTTGTGCATGGAGAGTCGGAAGGAGTTGGGTTTGGGATTGTAGATGTGTGTGTAGCGAGTTCAAGAGAGAAGTTATGTTTAGAGAGGAAAGCGCCATGGCGCGTAGCAAGGTTTCGCACAAGGGTAGTCGTCGTCGTCGTCGGTGGCAAAGCGCGAAGGTAGAAACGCGACTTCAACATGGGTCACGTGTATCTCACGAGGTCGCTCACACGTCACGCCTGCACGACTAGTCTCGTACCCATCCCCTCTGGAGAGAATCGGAACTATCCGCGCGGAGTTTCAAAAACCTGCGCGACGTTCTCTCCAGAGGGTCTGGTGTACTTCGTTCGATGACTATTGTTGACGTCATTTTGTCGCGGTGGTGTCACAGTGTGTCACGGCTTGGCTGCTAGGGGCGCCTGTCACGTTTCCGTCACGGCAATAGTCCTCGAACGAAGTACACCAGACGTTCTGGAGAGAATCTCGTCCAAGTTTTTGAAACTCCGACCGGATAGTTCCGCTTCTCTCCAGAACGTCTGGCTTGCGAGACTACTGCACGACGTGACTGACGCGTTCTGATCGTAAGTCACTTGAATCGCGAACAAAAGTTGCCGTACTGGTCCCAATACTTACTGCAAGTCATGCAGCATCGATGATGCTATCAAAGAAACAGGAAACGACATCTTATGCCACAACAATGGAACCCTACTGGACGTCGTTATGTCCCGAATCTGAGGCTGTGTGTGTCGTCTGTGGCTTTGCAACCATTCCGTACAGCTAGCACTTTGTCTGTCAACACCTCGGTGAACGACTCAAACTCCAGAGGATTTCCATAAATTTTCCTGGATAAAATCACTCACATGGGTCGGTATGGCCATGAATCTTCAGGTATCTCGCGTTGGAACTCATGATCGTCATATTGTAGCTTGCGCTTGTGCGGCGTTGGCGAGTTAGCATGCACATATAACTCTTGTATACGCCGCATTTGGTCTATGTGGTCCCACAGAGTCACCTAGCGACATTCACGCTTCGAAGCTGTGGCGCTGGTGGCATTGGGTGGCATCGTCTTGCGGTATAAAAGCGGAGCTCGGGACGACGCTAACCTACATACTCCCGTCCAGCGCTTTCGCATATCATGCCTTCGTCAGTCCAATTTAGTGAGCTCGCTGTAGAGCTGATCATCAAAATACTATTGCATCTGGACGTGCAGACGCTAGTATCGTGTCGCCTGGTATTTATCCCCGTGTCCTTATCATGCTCTTTCTGACGTCTTTATTTGCAGGTAGACCACTTTCTCAAAGCCGTCATCGACGATTCAGTAGCTCTGCAATACAAGATAGAGTTATTCGCTGCAGGCATGGAGGATGGACCTGCGTGCCACATGGATATTGCAGAACGACTGCAGCGGCTGAAGCGCCACACCTCGGCCTGGGAGGACCTTAGATGGGAAAGCTATGCAAATCTGCTTTTCACAGACCTGCCCCTGCTTGACTGGCACATGCATGCGAGCGTCTTGGCGCGCATGTGCGGTACTCGCGGTACCGAAATTTCTCTTGTATTCGACAGGCTACCTGGACATGCCCGAGGCATCCAGATGAAATCGTGGTCGCTGGACAATATTGATCCCGACACGCACACTTTCGATATGGATATTGGACAGGACCTTCTTGTGGTGGTCAGTGACAGAGGGGACGGGTGAGTGAACATAAACGCTGCTTGAGTTGCCGCGACTGACGCGTGAGGTTTCTAGCCGATGCCATCTCTTACAATTATCTACGGGCGAGCCTCATCCCAACGCCGCGAAAGCCATTTTAGAGCCTCTCCTACCGTCGTTGTTCCCTGGAAGTACCTTTGAGGCTGCCACAATCTCAGGGGCCTATGTCGGTATGATGCTGGAAGCTTATGGTGGAGACAGGCCCGGCAAAAGCATATTAGTCTTCAACTGGAAGACATGTAGCCCAATCCTCGTAGGCGTTTCTATCCTGCTTCCACTGCGGTATTGAATCATTTCCTTATAGTGGCTCTGGTCGAATATCACCGTGATTGATTCGTTCGTCTTCCTTACTGAGCGCTTTGTCCTGCTGTCGGTCTGCCTGGAGAATACTTGGGTTTACAAGGTCTACGATCTGGAGCACCCCCCTGCTCTCGGCATTCGTCATGAGGCGGCCCAGAGTTTCTGCACCTTCCTGAATCCCAATCACGGCCTGAGCTTGTTATTTGCACGCCTACAAGTAGCCCCAACCCCGGCCTGGTCCCCCGGCGAAGACCCACAAATCCCATTCTTCCCTGCCCGCGGCGAGAGGATCATCCTCGCGAACATCGAGTTCTCAGGCCCCGAGTTCGAGCAGATGGAAGTGGAGGATGGCGCACTCGAGGCCCCTTTCGACCCGGACGGGCGCGACTACTCCCACTTTATCCCAGCCTCTGTATTGATCTCTCGTCTGCAACCCGGGAGGACGTGGGAGTGGTGTGAATGGGGGCCGCATTCAACCTGTCTGAAAGAGGACCTCGCGACGATAACCTCGGGCGGCCGTGTCGTAGGGGGCAACAGGTTCGCGCTGGCCCTGAAGCAGCCCGACTCGAGCGACCAACGGGTGGACTTCTTCGACTTCAATCGGAGTCAGCGTCGTGAACGCGTAGAAGGGGATTCTCTGGATCGGGCTTTCGTGCATTGGGTAGGAGAGGATCATGTGAACGAATACAGGCTTGAGACTGCTTTGCCGTATATTTCCAATGCTATTCGGCTTCCCTACGGTCAAACGGAGATAATGCGGCCCAGCGAGACCCTGGTCTCGCTTTACGAGGATGGCATCGTTCTTGCCTCAGTAAGTGTCTATAGTATATGACAAATTTCAACAATACTTATTTGTCTTCCAGACGGACGAAGTCTTTCATGTATTGATATTCTGAAGGTCGCGAAAGCTTGGACTTGGACATCGTCTAGATCTGTCTTCTGTATCTCAAAGAAATCTCGCGCATCTATCAGACGTCTGTATCTTTAGTCCATAATAGAACTATTATACATTCGCGTCGGCTCAGGATTTGGCAACCTTGCATTCAACACAGCAGAATAACGATGAGATGTGTCTGCAGCCAAATTACGAGATACGGATGGGTGGCACCAGTACTGAGCGAACAAGTTCCGGACAAGTTGAAACTGATCATGAGATTGCCTGCAGCATATTCAAAGACCCAAAGGCAGAGTCAATGTACGGGACAAATTGATACGACAGCTTCAAGTCCTCCCTGAGCCGTCAGAAATCCACACTTGTGACTTCACAGCATCAAGCCCAATTGACAATATTCTATTGACAACATCGATACCTAGATCACCCCAACAACCACCCTTGCCGCGATACGCAGATGCATAGATAACCAAGGGTACAACATCGTATGTACAGGAACAGTACCTCGCGGCCGGGTCACAGGGGGACATAAGATATAATCTGGAGTTAAGGTAGACGGGCAAGAAGGGAAGGAAGCAAGAATTGGGCGGGAATAATGAAAAGAAGAAGAAAAGTTATAAGTTCTCCGCAAACACCCAGACTAATCAACAACACGGAATGAAGACCTTAGGCTACATGCAGACCGGAAACCAAGCGATACAGACAGTCAATCCGGATACAGGGAGTCCGTCGTAACATCGTACGCCGAGTGGCGGCGAGTGGCAGATGAAAGTGGAGCTCTTCCGGGGATGCAGATGGGACGGATGTAGATGACCAGGTATCGCAGTATGTAGGGTTAAGGGTTTCATGCCTAGATAAAAGAATTCGTCGGTTCAACGTTCAGCGGAAGTGAGAAATGGTGGCTTACCTCTTCAGCAGCGGCCTCCTCTTCGTTGCTGTTGGCTTCAGCCTCAGCCTCAGCCTTGGCCTCGCCTTCGGCGTCTTCAGCGATCGTCTCTTCAACGACGCTCTCGTTCGCCTTATCTTTATCATCGGCCTTGGCCTAGAAAAATAATTCGTCATCAATCATAACCACAATTGGGATGTAGTATGCATACCTTCGAGGCGGGCTTCTTGGATCCAGCTCGTGAAGCTGGCTTCTTCGCGCCAGAAGGCGGCTTCGTCGAACCAGCACGGGAGGCGGGTTTCGCGGAAGCTGCCCGCGAGGCAGGCTTCGCGGAGCCAGCTCGCGAGGGCGGCTTGGACGCCTTCGATGCCGGCTTGGAAGCAGTTCCCGCCGCCTTCGAAGCTGGTTTCGCTGACACCTTAGAGGCAGGCTTGGATCCCGCCTTGGAAGCAGGCTTGGCCTGCGCACGATAGTGAGCACGGGCCTACATTTAACAAGGCAGACATAAGAATACCTTCTTTGCGGGAGGAGGCTTGGCTTCGGCGTCGTCGTCGGCCTCGCCATTAGCCTCGGCGGCGGCGGCAGCATCCTCCTCGTCCTTCTCCGACGCGGTGCGCTTCTTGCCCCGAGACTTCGGGGCAGCCTCTTTCTGCTCTTCCTTTTCCTCCTCTTTATCGTCCTTCTTTTCTTCACCGTTGGCAGCTTTGGCCTTGTCGGCCTTCTTGGCCCTAGGCTTTGCGGGAGCTTTCTTCGGCGGGGGATCCGCCTTCGGCTGCTCCTTGATACGGCTGGAGCGACGAGGAGGACCGGCGGGCTCGGCAGGAGCAGCGGCTTTGCGAGGCATTATAAACGACGCGTAGAAGGGGGAGGGATGCAGGGGAGGATGTGGCTAAGGATAAAGAGCAGGGAAATACGCGCGGGTTCAGTTCAACCTTGAGTGGCTCGCCTGAACCGATCAACAAGCGGTGCACGTGATCACTGTGCGGGACTTACACGTGCCCCGCCTTCCCAGGTATGTTATTCCCACGCATATAGAGACCCTCATGTCAATCTAATTCCGCGATATGGATATGTCAGAAATGCAAGCCGGTCGAATAGGTAGTGGAATACAGCTACTGAGTTACGACGTGTACATGGGATCAGCGATTAATATTCAATGATTCGCTTTGATCAAGACTTCGAAGCCGGCCCAGGTCTAATTAGGATCGAACGCATTGCCACCGACGGTATGCTACAGCGGTCTAAAATCACCTTAGCGGCCATATAAACGTTTCATGGCATCCTCATCTTCATCATGCTCGCCATCATCGTCAGCAGTAACAATCCCGACGCCAGGCAAGTCTATCCTCAAGAAACCGCCACCGCCGCAGCAACCCTTCTTCTCACTTGCCCGCCTCTCCAAGCTCCTGCCCACGCAGAACCAGCCGCAACCTGCCAGCAGCGTCGTCGACGATGAGAAGGCGCTTAAACGAGCCCATTTTATTCTACCACAGCTCGTCACGGTCTACCCGATCTCTGCACAGAACCCCCCGTATAGTCCCAGCCTTAAGGAGGAGAAGAAGACTGTAGAACAACGGGAGGCGGAGAGAAGGAAGCGGATAGTGAGGGGAAACTCCTTTGGACCCGACTCGGCCGAGACGGAGGACTGGTGGAGTCTCGATAGGGTGGAAGCGTTCTACCGGGAGTGCTGCGAGGGGAGAGAGGAGACTCCCAATCCTGCCATTTCAGCAGCGTTCAAGGTATGCAATAGCATGTACATCTAGTGTCCAACCGTCTGTCTAAACGCCTCAGACACAGAGAGCTGCGCACACGAATCCCCGCTCGCTCGATCTGTCCGGTGTCCAACTGAATCTCACCGTGGCAGCAATCCTATCCGACGTGTTCACGATCGAATGGGGCTTGCGCAAGCTTGTGTTCCGCGAATGCGATTTAGATGAACATGTGGGTTCACTTGCCTTTGTATATCTCGTCACAGGGATTTAAGCCTGATCCAGATCCTCAAACCCATACTTCACGCCCTCCTGATACCTCAATCACTCACGTTCCTTTCTGTCGCGCTAAATCGGAGGCTCAAGGCTCCTGCGTTCAGGCTGATCGGCGCATATGTCGCAAAGGTATGCGTCTGCTTCTCATCCCTTTACTGTAGGCGTTACCCACGGCGTACGACAGGCCAAAAGCCTTCAATTCCTAGATATCTCGCAAAACGCGCTGGATAAGAAGAGTGTAGAGTATATCGCGGCTGCGCTGCCTATAGCGTCCAACGCGGGACTAGAATCCATCAAGATGGATGACTGCTCCTTACGCCCCGCGGCTCTGGAAGCTTTAGGTAGGTTGTGTCATGTCGGGAGGTTAAGCCGGTGTATTAAAGTCATCAACAGCCCATGTCGTTCGGAACTCCTCCCTGAAACACATCTCCCTGCGCCACAACCGTATAACACAAACGGGCGCCGTCGCGCTTGCGCTGATGATCAAGGACTACCCCGATGCAGTGGCCGCTAATACCAGCTTAAGTTCCAACCCCACCTCCCCAACGTCCTCTCCCAAGAGCACCGCCTCCAGCCTGCTCTCACCGCCCGCAACACCCACGATATCCTCCATGTCTCTCCCCAGCGTCTCGTCCCACCCAACGCCGCCGCCCGCACCTCGCACCGGCCCGCTCCCGCCGCCGCCCAGGCACCCCGCAGCTGCTCCCGCGGTGCCGCAGACGACGTATACGCCCTACGTGCCCCGCTCGCGGCGCGGAGGTCCGCAGGCGCCGAGTAAAATCAACACCAACGTCCTGCGGGACAACAACGGGAACCCGCTGTCTTCCACTGGGGAGCCTGTGCCCCTGATCACGTCGTCCGCGCAGGGCGGCGTGACGACGCGGCATCCGGTTGCTAGTAATAGTGCGCAGGGTGGGCAGAACCCGAAGAATCACCACGATCATGGTCCGAGCGCGGCGTTGCTGGATAAGGTGAGGGCTCTGGATACGTTGCCCAGGCTTGGGGCGCTACGTACGCTGGATCTGAAGGGCAACGATATCCGGGTAAGTTGTATATATCGATCAGCAGTTGAGCTGCTGAGAGTGTTGACGGACTTGGGCTTGTAGGGAGGCGTGAATTATATTGCTCAGGTGCTCAAGCGGAACCGGACTCTGAAGGTGCTGAATTTGAGCGAGAACAAGCTTGACGTGCAATGTTTGGTCGTCATAGCTGAGGCTCTTGTAAGTGCACATCGATCCCAGCTCAAGATTATGCGTATGCTGATGTCGGTCCCAGAAATACAATTCATGCTTGGAGACGCTGGACTTGAGCAAGAATCCATGCTGCGGGCCTGGTTTAGAAGGGGTCAGTAGTTAAATCATTCATTCCTTGCTAACACTGATCGTCGAATGGTGATTAGATTCAATCATTAAGGACAGCCTTCACATTGAACACGGCCCTGAAACGGCTCTTCCTATCATCTACAGGCATGACTTCAGCAGGTGCCATTGCATTAGCGGAGTTCCTCCCTGAGTCCCAATCGCTTCTGCACCTGGACCTCACCGTCAATAATCTCGACCTTGCGGGTGTGATGGCGCTGAGTTCGGGCCTTAAGGCTAACCATACCATGCGGTGCTTAGACCTGAATATTCCCCCGGGCGATGAGGAAATGGCTAGGTGCGTAATCTCTGAACTCAGAGACGGTATGTTCACTAAACCAGCCATGCTCAGGATGTGTCGTGATATCCTGAACTCGTGCATACGCAATACAGAAGAGGCTGAACGGACCTCCAACGGATCCGCCGCCTACTCTGGCAGCGGCAGGGGGTTGGGCAAAGGTGTATGGGGCCTCATTGAAGAGAGCGAGCTGGCTAAGACGATCCGTAAGGACGAGGAGAAGAAGGTGAGATTGGGTCCTTGAACGCGAATTCATCGAGGCTCAAGGGATATACACAGGTCGGAACCGACGTCCTTGTCCGAGCGTACGCGTGTAGAGCGGAGTTGGAGGAACAGCTCTCCCGCCTCTCATCATCATCCATCTCGCCAGTTTCGGAGGCCGCTTCGCAAGACGTGGACATCGAGGTCGTCATGAAAGTGAAGGACGTTATGACCCCGCTTACTACCTTGATCGAAACTACTGTGGATCCGACACGCCTGGAGGAGCTGCTCGGCTTGAACGATACCCTTATGGAGCTTTTACGGCGGACTCCCAACGGGCAGCAAGCTTTGCAGGAACTGGGACTGATCACGGGCGCTCCAGCTCAAGGTCAGACCGCCAAGGAAGTCAGCATCACTATTCCCAACGGGCACGCGAATGAGGGTGGACATGGGGAGCCTACTGAAGACGAAGAAGAGGAGGAAGCTCTGGCTACGCCCAAGATCGACAAGGGTAAAGGTCGAGCAGAGCCCGAGCCGGAAGAGCCCGAGAAGATACTTAGTCCGACGAAGTTCCTGATATCGGAGTCGGACGACGAAGACGACGACGAGGAACGTAACTTCGTAGCCGGTGAACCCGACAATATCGGGGCACCTTCTCCAACCGATAGGTATGTACCTAGTTGAACCTCAGGATCTTCGGAGGTTCACACAGTCACCAGATCGAAGAGCTGGGTCGAAGAGGAAGGTGAGATCTTCCGCAAAGGGACCATTCTCCTAGGCCCGGAAGAAATGGAGGGAGAATTTGCGGGAGAGGAACTCCGCAGAGAGGTATGTTCCTGTCCTATGTCATGAATGTGCAGATAGGATTCAATTCTGTCATAGCTCCTGGAAGTCGAAGTAGAAAGACCACCACCCCGCCCTATCGTAGACGACTTCGGCATGGAGATACCACCGGCTGATGGGCATATGTCCCCTAAACCCGGAGGCCCTGAGGAAGTAAAAGCAGCCCCGAGGCCGTACATCCCCCGAAGGACCTCTACTTCCTCAATGGTGTCTATAAAGACACAAAGCCTTGTGTCACCACGTCCAGGTGCAGAGGGCGAGACAACCTCGATCCCTGCGCCTTCCACTGCAAGCCCTGTCTCGGCTGCGTCTCCCGGGCCTGTCCCGTACCTTGCGAGACGGTCGTCTGCTCAGTCAATTGAGACGCGGTGATCTTTCGACTTTAGTGCTGTGCCTGGCGCAAGCAGTGCTTGTCTGATTCCCACCACATTTTGACAAATGGACGGGACTATCGTATATTAATGTTGTTTATAATCTACCTGGTTGGAACATGTTGCCGGTGTCACTCCCTGCTCCGATGCTCACTTATCACCATACAATGACCGAGTGCTATTATGTACGGACCACGCCATCAGTAAATTCAGAATGGTCTTGGTTTCGATACTTAGGTTTACGGTCGATATCCTGCGTAAAGCCCCCGGCTACTGCTAGGTCTTATAAACTACAGCCTTTCGAATCATATTAATACCCGGCCGGACTCGCGACCTCTCCAGCTGTGCCTCGGTATGCCTCGGAAGACCAATCCTGCTGCCGAAGGCTCTGACAGCAAGATTGAGCAGGCTCCTCGCCGCTCGACCAGGCTGTCAACTGCACAGAGTGTAGCGAATGACTCGACTGCCAGCAATGCTAAACGTACCAGAGACGTGGACGAGGCAGACGTAGGCTCTGCAGCCGGTTCCAAGAAGGTTCTTACTCTTGTGCAATGCTATCTTAATGTAGATGTCTCTCTAATCCTCACCGATTATCCGACCAGGCAAAGAGTACTGATCGCAGTACGAAGGATGCCAAGGGCTCGGAAGTTACGGACGACTCTGCAGCTGACTCCGCAATATCTGCCATTCCTCCGATCAACATAGGGGATAAGCTCCCTTCATTGATCCTCAAAAATGAACAAGATGAGGATGTTGATGTCGCCAGTTTGACCACAGACAGAGGAGTAGTACTGTTCCTTGTCCCGAAAGCCGACACCCGTAAGCGCCTCCCCTCTCAGTAGCCTGAATCATCCATATTGTCAAGCGCTTATATTTGAATAGCTGGATGTACAAATCAAGCATGTGGATTCAGAGATTCGTACCCGGATTTTACTTCGGCAGGTTTCGATGTGTATTGCCTAAGTGCGGATAAACCTGTTGCACAGAGTAAATGGAAGACGAAGGTGAGTGTTCGCGTTGATCGTCACTGCGGAATCCGAATCTAAAGCGCTCCTCGTGCTCTCTACAGAAACACCTTCCATATGCTTTACTGTCCGATCCTAAGCGTGTTTTGATCACTGCGTTAGGTGCCGGAGAAGGAGGGAAGACCAAGCGTAGTCACTTTGTGTTCCTGAAAGGTGGACAATTGGCGGACAAAAAGTTGCCGGTGAAGCCAGTAGATAGGTGAGATCTATATGCGTAACTGCGGGAGTTGCTGCAGAGCTCCCCAATTGACAACTCAATTATCCAGCCCGAAGCTTGCATACGAGTTCGTTCAAACCATCTCCAAGGAATGATATGCAGAGATATGTCCGCTTACCTCTGAGCCGCCTGTAGTCAACATTTGTGATCTCAATCAGATATCTAGTCCGTCTTCTAGGACCATTCTCTGCCATGCACTACGATTGGCTCTGAATCATGGCTCCGGCACTGGCAATACGCACAAGGGTAAAATCATGCAGCTTCTCGCCCTATTGGAGCGTACAGCGGACAAAGGGTTGATCGCATTGGTGTAAAACTTCGTTTACAGATAGCAACTTTCCCCCCGAGGTTCTTGACCTTCCTCTATCAGTAGCCTTATCGTGCCACTCCCCGTGCAAGTCGCACATCTGAAGGCCTCCCTTAAGCTTTTCAACGGGCAACTGGACGATTTTAGAGACATTTCACCTTTCAGAAACGGACCAGGCATGGTGCAACTGAAGGCCGAGAACACCGAAATACCTTGTGGACGTGTAGTCGTGTTGTTTGGTCTACTGTTGCAACATTCGTTTGCCCTCGTGCCCGAGGATTTCTTAGTCAGTTCAGTAGGTCCCGATCGCCATTGTTCCCGTGTGACTAATGCCAGCGCGGCGATCTGCACCTGCTCCGGACTCCCCGACGGCATATATAGCCTGATAGGAAGTCGGACGCAACTTCGTGGGTCGATATGGTCTTCGCTAACATACGAGACATCTCTGGGAAGCAGTGCCATTTTGTGATCATCGGTCCGTGGTCTATATGTCGAATGTTTTGGCTACCTGACGTGGTGGTCTCTGACTCTCAGGCGGTGGTGTACGTCCATCTTCGTCAACGTAGTCGAACAAATATGTACCTTGTTCTGGTTAGACTTCCGGGCTGTGTTTGGCAGCACGTCTTACTGAAGACCCGAGTATTACGGTCGCTGTCCTCGAGGCTGGTCCGGCGCATCTCGAGGATCCAGCAATCCGTGCGTTCGTCTTACTCGCCTATGCCGAGTTTATATCGATCTACTACAAGTTACTCCGACGGGATTCACAGGGCAACTCGGTAACAAAGAGTATGACTGGATGTATCAAACGGTTTGTCTCACGTACCATCTCTATCTTCGTCGCTGACCTCCGAGTTGATGCGCAGGTACCTCAAAATCATTTAGATAACCTGCAGTATATCATAAACAGGTTCTATTGCGCAGTCCGTCTCCTATAATATTCTGACCTCGCACCAGTGGCAGGGGATTGGGCGGGAGTTCATCTATGAACTTCCTAGCTTGGACCAGGCCACCTCGTGAAGATATCGATGGCATGTGTCAAATCGTTAGGGCATTAAGCCCTCTTGTATACTTACGTCCGCATAATACTACTACAGCATTGGTGGCTCTGGGCAATCCGGGATGGGACTGGGAGAGTTTCATCGAATACTGCAAGAAAAGCGAGAGGCATAGTACTGTTCCTTGGGTTGTATGCATGCTGTTATATTAACAAGTTGATGTCAAGGTTCGTTCCAGGCGCTCCGGACGTCCTAGCTATGCATGGACAAAAATACGAGCAAGGCACCTTAGGAACTCAAGGTAGGATGAAACTCTAATCTTGACCAGATACACTCACCCTGGTCTAGGACCTGTAACTGTATCCTTCCCAAAGCTTGTCTCGAGGGGCGACATAGCCTTGAGAAGCGTGAGTGGTTACCACAGGCAGTACATTTGTAGTTGTATCCACTCATACTATCCAGTCCTTGAAGTCCAAAGGTATCCCTGTCCTGGACAATGCGGTGAGTCCTGTACGTCTTCCGAACAGTATATGCTCAACAACAGCATGCGGTTTTAAGCTGTCAGGCCAGGTAATCTCTAAGTCGTAATTACGAAATTAGACTCACATGCAACTTTCAGGTCACTGGAACCTGGTGCTCCGTCGCTACTATCGACCCCGAAACACAAACACGTTCCAATTCCGTAACAGTTAGTGATATTTGATCTACGTTTCTACATGTGCCACTCTGATATGCATGAGCTAGGCGTATCTGTTGCCCCATATTGATCGTCCAAACCTGGTGGTTCTTACGGGAGCCGTTGCTAATTCAATCATAACCACAGACTCTTCAGGTACCGTCGTCGGGTCGGGCATTGCTTTCACGCATGACGGTGCAAAACACGAAGTATACGCGGAGAGAGACATCATCCTATGTGCCGGGTGGGTGGCCTCGCACTGATGCTGCCTGACCAGGTTGACCTATCTTAATCTGAGCTCCCTAGAGCTATACAGTCTCCCAAAATACATGAGTTAAGTGGGATAGGTGACAGGAGAATCCTCGAACGCATAGGAGTCGACGTCAGACTTGACTTACCTGGAGTGGGGAACAATCTCCAAGAACATATAACTTACGTCGGCATCAGTTTTGGTGACAATCTACTCCGCGTGCCACCGCATCTCGCCTCTGATGCCACCTGCAGAACTGAAAGAGGATAGTGGAGTGGAAACATGGGATCCCCTTCGGGATCCCGCGTTTGCAGCTCTAGAAAGGGAGCTATAGTATGACCTCTCGCATGGCTCTAGCTGCTAGAGCTGATTAGACGTTTTCCAGTGACCAACATAAAGAAGGCCTTTTCACAATGGTCCCTTCAGGTCTCACTTTCTTGCCATTGCAAATTCTCTCCGAAAATGCAGCAGCTATTGTAGAGCGGCATGCTAAAACACTCCAGGAGAAAGCCCATCTGTATACACCAGGGACACTCTTGCAGCACGAACTTCAGTTGGAGAATCTCAGGAACCCACAACTTCCGGAATGTGAGCTGATCGCCTTCCCGGGATTCCGCGGGAATCTAAGTACGTTGCCATATCACGAATGACTGACTGTCGAGCTCACGCGCACCAAAGATGAAGTACAGCCAGGCAGGCGATACTTTTCCATAGTCCCGACATTGTGTCATCCCTTTTCACGCGGGAGTGTAGTGCGCTCATCAGATTGATTTCTTCTCGCGTTTGTACCTTGACTCGTGGCTAGCACATCGCATCCAGTGATCCCGAAAAGCTTCCTCAAATCGATCCTTGCTATCTTCAGCAGGACATAGATATGGATATTATGGTTGAAGCCTTCAGGTTTGCGCGCTCACTCGCAAACGAAGAGCCCCTACGAGAGATCATTGCGAAGGAGGCATGCCCGGGAGAAGAAATATCAAGCGAGGAGGCAATCAGGGGTGAGCTGAAGTCTCCTCTAAATGATTCTACGGCTTCATTGCTTCCGATTAGAACATGTCAAGCGCAGTTGCAAGTCAACTTGGCGTACGTTCCCCGGGCATTCTCGAGGTCCGCAATGCTGAGGAAGGATCTCTAGACACATGCGGTAGTTTGTCCATGCTTCCTAGAGAGTGCGGTGGCGTTGTAGATCCACAGCTCAAAGTGAGTCTCCCCTTTACTTAGCAAGGGTGATGGCGGTCAATACTTTATTGTAGGTATGGGGCACCAAGAACATCCGCATAGCGGACCTATCTATTGTGCCGTTACAAGTTGCTTCCCATACTCAAGGTAAAGTGGTCTGCCAGGCAGTGGACCATACTTAACTGTATTCCAGCCCTTGTTTACAGCATTGCGGAGAGAGGTAGGGTCTTCATTGCGTTACGTCCCTCCGGTTTCTTACCGCTTAGTTCAGCCGCGGATATCCTCAAATCGGAGATAGGATCGTTGCTATAGACTAATCCTGCTTCTGGTCCCGACAGCAGTGGAGTCCTCATACACTACGTCGGTAATGTCTTGCATGAAATCAAATAAGCTGATAGCTTTACAACGGCTGGACCTCGATGAATCCATAATGTGCCTGGATCAGATCGGCCACCTTCTCCGCAAGAGCGTAAGTCGGCGCCTGCGTATGCGCACCAGACAAGAAAGACTCTGTTTAATACCGCTTCTCCGACTACCAAAAGACCTTGAATACTTACTAAAATGCTGGCGTCCACGACTCCCAAACCGACTGTTCCTTTGACTAACAAATCCGGATCAACGACTCCTCCCTCTGTGTGATATATGCCGATATCGCAGCGGTCCCAACAGAATGCCATATGCGGTGGCCTGCTCCCTGACGTATTGGTCGACGTCTTCATATGTTGTGACATTGGCCCAAGCACCATGAGGAGCTATGATATAACCCGACCATGCTGAAGCACGAAGGATGTTTTCGCAGACTAACAGCTTCTCGCAAAGCAAGGATATCAAACTCCGTCTCTAAAAGCGCAGGATTGATATTCGGTGGTGCAAATGAATCTTTACTTGCTAAAGTCAAATTACCACCTGGAGTCAAGTACTTATGCTCAAGGCAGTATCATGTCCTCAAGCACTAGTACTCACGCAACATGGGGGACACCAACGATACGCACATGGTCATGTAGGATCCGTTGGATGGAAGTGCTTCGGTGGATACGGCTGCGGGGCCAGCTGGTCGTGGCCACGGGGACGGATGGGAAAGTGGGAAGCTGGGTATACGCTATCAACTCCAAAGGTGAGAGCGCTGCAACACAGATTCAACGGTTATCAAGTTCGGGAGTGATGGGACGGCAGACAAGGTGTGGCAGCACATCGAGGAGGTATTCAAGAGTATTACGGAATCTGGGCAGGCATGATGTCCGACCATGGGGAGCCTATGAGATTAGTCAATTCATTCACATTCAACAGGCCAAAGTCTATGGCTGATAACGAAAAAAAACTCAAGCTGCGAAAGTACTGGCGTCGCCCGGAGGAACTCTCCTCATGCAGCTTGTGTTTATCAGGGAGGATGACCGCGAGCTAGTGGCTGCCCCGACGCTAAGCCTAAAGCCACATTCACTCATTGTGAAAGATGGTTATACTGCAGGATAATATGCCGTCTCGACAAAATCAGTTCGCTAGTCATCTCCCTGTATAGCAGGGGAAACGTACCTGCTCAAAGAGAAGAATGCCAATCAGGACCTTGTTATCTTTCTCGCGGAGTCAAATTGCGGCCTCATTTGCGGGCAGCAATGAAGAAGAAATTTGTCCACTGGGTTCCACACGCGCTCTAGCCCTGGACCCAGACAATGAAAGGGTCTAGTGTGTGTAGCGACAATCCACCAGTCCTCCTGAAACCCGGTAGAAGTACGAGAGGAGGCACCCTGCACCATGCGCTTCAATCAAATGTTTCGGGCACCAAGGTCGATCGCTCGATTTAGCAACAAGGAGACAAGAAAGACCTAAGTCAGGGGCTGACTTGCTTTTCTTAGAGCGAATAAGGGGGATATTCCTGGTTTGAGTTTCCTTTTCATGAGCGATTCATCCATCAAAGTATCGACGGGCCTGACAAGCCATGCGTATCCTTATCCAGTTCCGTAATCCATTGGAGTCGATAAGGGGCGCATCTGTCAACATCCCGACATGAGGATACTGGAGGGGCTATATGCCGGCAGACAATTAATCAGAGAAAGCTGGTATAAATATAAATGAGCCTTTGTCGAGGTATAAGAGAGAGTCGAATCGACACTTGCTGTTCACTAAAGAGTTCGCCATGCAGTACGCCACCCTGTTCGCCATCGCATCCGCTCTGATAGTAGGCTTGACAAGCGTACAAGCGAGTCCAGTGGTAAGCACGCACAATTGCTAGTTTGGACAAAACTGACATCGAGGTGACTTCGCAGGCGGGTAATACAAACCTTGTCGTGAGTTCTCATAGAAACCAGGCATGATGTTAAAGGGAGACTAACTTGCTCATCAGGCAAGGGAGCCTGAGCCATGCGCAGGTTGCAGTTGTGGTCCCAAGGGCTGCTGCACTGAGCCTATCTGCTAAGCTGCGCGGAAGAGGCGGAGGGCTCAAAGTTAATCATGAAGGATCATTCTACAGTGTTTCCTGTGAGGGGAGCGGGACAAATATATGGCAGCATGGATGCTTACTTTAGTCTTGCCGCAAGCCTCCTGCAGAAAACGTCAATCGCAAGCTCTAGAGCCGTATCGTTTGTATGAGCGCAGTTGCCCGAAAATCCGAATATACCAAGATGGATGGCCTCCCTCCGCCTGAAGGGGTAGGCCATTGAAAGCGCTTAACGCCATGGAAGTCCGCCTTGAGCACAAGTGAGCCATCTGCATTGGACCCCGTGAATTGAAGCCAGCCGTATGGACGATCTGCTACTCATGATGGTTGGCCGTTTCCTTTCGACTCCAAGCGGGAGTCGAATGGATGCATCGAACCACCAGCACACAAAGGGAAAAAAGAACCAGTGTCAAGTCTGATTTCGTAGCCACGAGAAATATTTGCGATCTGGACATCCTTGTCGTGGACCAGAGAACGACCTTTGGGCGGACCGGGACAACACTGGCCTGAGATGCGCATCGTCAGGCAGTCCCGTAGTCCCCTGCAGTGGATGAGGAGAGCATCGATCATTATCTCGATATGAGGGAACGGAGGATGCAATATGCCGGCAAATATTCAAGCAGAGAAAGTCGGTATAAATATAATCCGCCACTGTTGGGTATAAGAGAGGGGAGGGAGGTTAATGGCGCTACTCACAAAACAGATCGCCATGCAATACATCACCTTGTTCACCATCGCAGCCACTTTGGGGTACATACGACCCCAGTAGTAAGCACGCACGCTTGCCCCATTATTACGAAGTGGCGTTGACGCGAATTTCGCAAGCGGGTAATGTAAATCTTGTCGTTAATCATTTTAAAAACCGTACACAATGTTCAAAAACAAATAGGTTCATTAGGCAAGGGAGCCAGAGCCATGTCTAGGCTGCGCTCGTGGACCGAAAGATTGCTGTAGTACACCTGGATGCCACTAAGGAGTCGAAGAAAGGGGATGGAAGCATGTGGAATGGTTAGAGACCAGGTAGCAGTTCTCGGGTGCACGATCAATGTACCAGCGTAGCTTTGATCAATGGCTACTCTTAACATCCCATCATTCCTGACACTGAGGGAACCGCAAAGACAACGCCCGAGGTCCCCAAGAACATGGTAAGCTGTGAGGTGAAAACAGCATCCCTGAGACCGGAGTGTTCCAGAGCCCAGCGCAATCTTTTGCTATGACGGCGAACCGTGATATGGCTCACGGGGCAAGTCATTGACATGGAGTACAGAGGTATTGCACTCACGTATATAAATCTTGTGATTGCCGTCGTCCTGAAGGATAGGACAAGTCCGACGACGCATGGGTGTGCCTCTTCATCGTGGTCTCCATTCCAATGACCGAACCGTCGAATCCATTTGCCAGCACGCTGGCCATCCGTTCGCCCAAGGACCCGATGGCAGAGTAATCGCAAGCGTAGAAGACTGTGGTACCGTCGTGCCGTATTCCAAGGCTTGGATTTCAAGGTGGTTCCCCAGGAGGCAGCTTGCCGAAAGGTGGTACACTTACACTTGTCTTAGTCTGAAATGCTACATGTCGAGAAAACTGAATAGCGAGACAAGTCAGCCTTCAAACTCGCAGGACTGCCATGACTACCGGTCAAACAAAGCCCGGGATATGAATGGTCGGATCCAAGACATCAGGTCGTCAGCATCTACGCCCGTACCACCTCGGGGTGGCTGAGGTCAAGGAGAGACGTCTTCCACTTCCAGCATCGCTTGTCATGATAAAACGTTCTGAATCAATTCTTTCCCTTTGCCTCTAACACGCCTTCTCCTTCCGTCTGTTAGCATTGCGTGTTGCCCTGGCTTCTTCAAGTTCTTGCTGCTTACGCTACATCTTCGAAGATGACAAATGCTGGTTGTAGCATGGGCCGACGAATGCCGGAAAAGATAATCATGCTGCAAGTCGGCCTCGGGGCAGGTCAACGATTGTTCGCGCTGAAACAACAACCTACAACCCAGTCACTCGAGGCAGGCAGCATCCCCGAGCGATGGCATCTGTGACCAAGTCCAAATTGTTCGAGCCCACTGTGATCGGCAATCTCAAGCTACAGCACCGAGTGGTCATGGCGCCTTTGACCCGGTTCAGAGCCATCAAGAACCATATCCCTTCTGACATGACGCCGGAGTACTATGGCCAGCGAGCGAGTGTGCCCGGAACGCTGCTCATAAGCGAGGCCACTTTCATCGCGGAGAGAGCGGGGGGCTACCCGTACGCGCCTGGTATATGGAATGAGGCGCAGATACAGATGTGGAAGAAGGTACGAAGAGACCTATATACTACACAGTCTGCCAAGTTACCCACACCTAACACTCTTTCCCTAGGTAACGGATGTTGTCCACGCCAAAGGATCGTACATTTTCTGCCAACTCTGGGCCCTGGGACGTGCCGCCGACCCTGCGCTCCTAGCTCGCTCGAACCACCCCTTCGTGTCCTCGTCAGACTTGCCGATCCCCGGCAAGAAAGTTGCACCCCGCCCCCTTACTCATCGAGAGATCCAAGAGTACGTGGGGCTCTATGCACAGGCTGCAAGAAATGCCGTTGCGGCGGGATTCGATGGAGTAGAGGTGCACGGCGCGAATGGATACTTGGTCGATCAGTTCATCCAGGACAATTGCAATAAGAGGACAGATAAGTACGGTGGAAGTATAGAGAACCGGTGCCGGTTCGCTCTCGAAGTCCTCGAAGGCGTCGTGAACGCCGTCGGGCAGGAAAAGACAGCCATCCGGCTGAGTCCTTGGGAGCAATTCCAAGGTATGTTAGGATCTCAAAAGATCACCTTTGTCAGTGCTCAAAAGAACCCACACCTTCAGGAATGCGCATGGCCCAGCCAGAACCCACATTCTCGCACCTTGTCCGTGCCATCAAACAATCCTACCCCGACTTCGCGTACATCCACGTAACTGAGCCCCGGGTGCATTCTGGGGAGGATCGTGAGCCGTTGCCAGGCGAGTCCAACGACTTCATCAGGGAGATCTGGGCCCCCAAGCCCTTGATCTCCGCCGGCGGCTACAACAGGGACCTTGCGATACAGGTAGCGGACCGGACCGACAACCTCATCGCTTTCGGACGGATGTTTATCTCCAATCCCGACTTGCCCCTCCGATTAATGAAGAACATTCCCCTAACGAAATATAACCGGAAGACGTTCTACACTCAGGGTAGGGAGGGGTACCTCGACTATCCGTTTGCAGAGCAGGAGGCAAAGGCAAGGCTATAGGTCTCAGAGAATCGCTAGAGGAGTGAGCGCGGTACCTTAACCTAACACCCCTGATCTGCAGTGCTTCGAATTCCCGCTGGCGGTGCAGGAGGACAATTAAATTTCGGCAACGAAGATGATTCTAATGATCCCGTTCGACCTCAGTATTGCTGCAATCGGTCAGTTAAATAAACTGCTGCGTCGATATCACTAGTTTCGACTGCGCCACCATGATACCTTTAGACTAGGGGGAACATACTACCAGCGATATTGTAGTGCTCGCCCGTTATACCACTCCGGCCGACGTGCACGCACCGTTGTAAATGAAACTCGCGTATCACGGAGTAGCAGTCAGTCCGGCAATGATTACCATCATCTGGTTCACCACCTACCGATTCCTTGGTGACCTTCTCACCGCCTAGAAGACGAAGTAACGTTATGTGCTTCTCAGTGCACCGCCAATCATGAGTGGGATTCGTTGCATATTCATGTGCGAGTTCTTCGTAAGTTCGTATACCTCTCGGTGTGCGGGAAAGGTCCTTGCACCTTTCGTAGCAGTATGTAGGTGGAGGCATTTCATTTACTGGCGAAATGGACGGCTTACGGGTTGCCACAGGGAAGAGAGTTTTGGAGCTCCACGACCGCCCGCTAATTCGGATGTCAACCATTACTCAAAATGTTGTATGGGTTCGGCATTGTAGGGTCGAAATCTGGAATATTATGGATACGATCAAAACAATCGATGGGAAACGCTCACCGCCAATCTGTCGAGGTAACTGATGACCACACGCGAGTAGTCTTTCCGCGGGCTCTTTCTCGCGAGCCGGAGTCATACAGGAAAGAAAAGACGTATAAAAGACGATGGGAATAGATGAGGTTTCACCAAGCATATGCTTTACCTTTTCGCTCCAGACCGCCTCTTCTCAAATAAACAGCGCCATGTCTCCAGCGTCGACGTCGAAGCTCTTCCAGCCTATCCAGGTCGGCGATCTTGAACTACAGCATCGACTCGTCTTGGCTCCCTTGACGCGATTCAGAGCGGACGATGAGCATGTGCACACTGAGCTCCCAGTGGAATACTACGCGCAGAGAGCGAGCGTACCTGGGACGCTCCTCATCTCCGAAGCGACCTACATCGACGTGAGGGCGGGAGGCTTCCCGAATGTCCCGGGTATCTGGAGCAAGGACCAGATCAGGAGTTGGAGGAAGGTACGCTTGCAAATCCATGCACGTGCCATCCAATGCTAATCTCGGGCTTTTTTCAGGTAACAGATGCTGTCCATGCGAAGGGGTCGTACATCTTCTGCCAGTTGTGGGCCCTCGGGCGTGCAGCACACCCTGAGCATCTGGCGAAGTTCGGCTTGGACTTAGTATCCTCAGGCAATCTGCCGATGCCGGGCAGCCCAAATGTGCCCCGCCCTCTGACCCTGGACGAGATCCGCGAATACGTCAAGCTCTACGCATATGCGGCCAAAAATGCGATCGAAGCGGGCTTCGACGGCGTCGAAGTCCACAACGCGAATGGTTATCTGCTGGACCAGTTTATACAAGACGTGAGCAACAACCGAACGGACGAGTACGGCAGAAGCATAGAGAACAGGTGCAGGTTTAGCTTGGAGGTTATCGAGGCCGTGGTAAAGGCAGTAGGTGAGAAGAGGACAGGCGCGAGATTCGGTCCTTGGGAACTGTACCAAGGTAAGTGTGGACCCAAGCCCTGACTTCCGACGCTCAGTGAATCATCGCCTTCCGAGTAGGTATGGGCATGGCCAACCCTAGACCCACCTTCACCTACATCGTCCGAAAAATCCGCGATCTATACCCGGATTTCGCCTACCTTCACGTAACCGAGGCTCGCAGCTTCATAGGACCCGAGCGCACACCTAAGCCAGGAGAGGATAACGACTTCCTCCGTGAGATTTGGGCTCCTCGACCGATGATTACTGCTGGCGGGTATACGAGGGAGATGGCCATCGAGGTCGCGGAGAGGACGGACAACCTTGTGGCCTTCGGACGGATGTTCATCTCCAACCCGGACTTGCCCCTGCGGATAATGAACAATATCCCGTTAACACCATATAACAGGGACACCTTCTTTAGCCCGGGGAAGGTGGGCTACACGGATTATCCCTTCGCAGAATGTACAGCATAGAGGGGTATGTATCCTGCATAAGGCGTCAGATCAGTAGGATAGCAATGGGGGAGCCTGATTCATATGGCGATTGTTAATGGGAGGACCACCGCAGTATGCTTTAATTTAATATACTCAGTGAAAGGTGTCCTGGAGCACTATCAGCGGCTCAATTCGAGTCATTCACCGTTTACGCCCTGGTGCAAAGCTTGTCCATCACTGCCGGCCATTGGTAGACATCGAGTCAGACAATGGTAGCCCCTTATCCTCAGGAAGTTGACGAACTTCATCCCTGCAACAGTCATCAAACCGCTGAATACTGGGGCAGCGCGAAACGCGTACTGTTTACCTGGATTTCTGATTCACGTCGGCCTTCGGGAACAACGTGTGGCAAGCTCAGTAAGCTGTGGCGCGGCGGTGGCTAGACTTCCTCATCAGTAATCTAATCCAGAAATGTTTAGGCGCCATATCAATGATCGACTCGCAAATCCCAAAATGTTGTACAATATCGTGATTCGGGACCGCCCAAGCAGCAGCGGCTCGAGTCGATGCGGCTCTCAACGCTCCCGACTACCGGCAATTATTCTACCTGCTTGCAAATCACTTCGACGGGGCCCGGATAAACCAGAGTAATGGGCAGCATAAAATCGGGACTGTGGTGAGGATGGATCATTATCTCCCTCCCCTACTCCCTCAAATCGTAGCTCGTCTCTGCCCTTATCGCAATGTCTTCTGCGACTACATCAAAACTTTTCCAACCTACGCAGGTCGGGGAGCTCAACCTACAGCACAGGGTCGTGATGGCTCCCCTGACGCGACTCAGGGCGGACGACCAGCACGTACCCACCGACCTTATGGCAGAATACTACGCGCAGAGAGCGAGCGTACCGGGCACCCTCCTCATCACCGAGGCTACCTTCATCGCCTTGAAAGCCGGGGGCTACCCCAACGTCCCCGGCATCTGGAGCGCGGACCAGATACGCGGGTGGAAGAAGGTACGTTTGCTTGCTCGTGACCGCGCCACACCAGTCCTTACACGCCCTCCCTTCATAGATAACAGACGCCGTGCACGCGAAGGGGTCATACATCTTCTGCCAGCTATGGGCCCTCGGACGCGCCGCGTACCCGGAGTACCTGGCCAAGTTCGGCTACGATCTGGTATCCGCGTCCGACCTGCCCATGCCGGACAGCCCAAATGTGCCTCGTCCCCTGACAGTCGACGAGATTCACGAATACGTCGGCCTGTACGAACAGGCCGCGAAGAACGCCATCGAAGCAGGGTTCGATGGCGTAGAGGTGCACAATGCGAATGGCTACCTGCTCGATCAGTTCATCCAGGACGTGAGCAATAAGAGGACAGACGAGTACGGCGGGAGTATAGAGAACAGGTGCAGGTTCGGATTGGAGGTCCTCCAGGCGGTTACGAAAGCGGTGGGGGAGAAGAGGACGGGTGTGCGGTTCGGTCCCTGGGAGCAGTTCCAAGGTGCGTCGAGTCAATGGAGTCCGCTTTGGCAAAACGTGACCTCACCGTCTGTTCAGGTATGCGTATGGCCGACCCAAAACCGACCTTCTCCCATATGGTGACGACCATTCGAGACCTCTACCCCAACTTCGCCTACGTTCACCTAACGGAGCCCCGTATCCTCGTCGCCTTCGAGCGCGAACCACAGCCAGGCGAATCCAACGACTTCATCCGGGACATCTGGGCTCCTCGGCCCCTGATCACCGCTGGCGGGTACACCAGGGACCTGGCAATCGAAGTGGCGGACAAGACGGACAACCTGGTCGCATTTGGACGCATGTTCATCTCCAACCCGGACTTGCCCCTGCGGTTAAAGAAGAACATCCCGTTAAACCAGTACAACAGGGACACCTTCTATACCAAGGGGGAGCAGGGATACACTGACTATCCCTTTGCAGAGTAGAGCAGCAAACTATAGAGAACACTAGAATATCAGTAGTACCAAAAGCGTAATTTCACTCTGTGGGCATTGTTCTGCAGCTTGCATCTAGATACGAAGACTTCAAGTGCGATCGGGTCTTGCAACGAATATAATATAATGTATACCCATGAACGCAAAAACGTACACTTGGTACAGATGCGAGTCCGTACCTACTAGCCAGCTCTGATTAGCCCGAACCCCGCGTCGTCCTGGCCACCCGAAACCAGGCTATTTAGTCGGCTGCCAGCTCCAGCTTGATCTTGGCAATAGCGGCGGCGGGGTTGAGACCCTTCGGGCATGTCCGCGCACCTACAGGACAAATGAGCAAATTCAGGCGGAATCACGACGTAGAACGACATACAGTTGAAGATAGTGTGGCAACGGTACATGCTCATCTCATTCTGCAAACGCTCCTTGCGTTGAGCACCATAGGCATCCTAGCCAGACTCTCAGATTTATTGGGGTATTTGAGAAAACGCAGTACGCACTCGTGAATCAGCGATCCATCGGTAGGCAGCCATCAAAGTGGCTGGACCGAGGTATTCGTCCTGGTTCCACCAGTAACTCGGGCAACTCGTTGAGCAGCACGCGCACAGGATACACTCGTAAAGCCCATCCAGCTTCTTCCTGTCCTCCTGGCTCTGCAAGAACTCGCCCTTCTCTGGCGGGTTGTCGTTCTTCAGGTAGGGCTCGATGGACTTGTATTGTTTGTAGAACAGCGTAAGGTCAGGCACCAGGTCCTTGACGATGTACATGTGCGGAAGGGGGTAGATCTTCGAGTCCTTCGAAGCGTTACGGTCAATGCGGCAGAGGCAGGCCAGGGTGTTCTGGCCGTTGATGTTCATGGCGCAAGACCCACAGATACCCTCTCGGCAAGAGCGACGGAACGTTAACGTCGGGTCGATCTCGTTCTTGATCTTGATGAGCGCATCAAGAACCTGTAATTCTGGGTTACTCCTGAATGTTTCCAGCACGCTGTCTCGGGAACATACCATAGGTCCGCACTGGTTCAAATCAATGGTGTACGACTGGAGAGTAGGCTTCTTCTCTGGCTCATCCGGGTTCTAATGATTATAGCACACTGTTGATCAGCTCTCAAACGATAACTTCCGTCCTCAATCTTACACACCCAACGGTAAATCTTGAACTCCTTCAAGAGCGGCTGCTTCTCTACCGCCGCCGCTTGCGCCCTCGTCGCCGACGAGGCGAAGGTACGTGCCCGAAGCGCCGGGCGCAACGCTGATCTAGCCAGAGACTGCATTCCGGAACGAGAGAGACGACGACGACGAGGTCGGGAAAGGGATGACAAGAGGGGAGGGAACGGTGTGAGGTAGTTGTGTCGCGTGAATTCGGGATCCGGGAACGGTCCTGGGGGAGCCTGCGAAAACTCCCGAGAGCCAATCACGAGCATCTCATTTCCTGCTTATGTCATTTGTTTCCACGGCCCTTGCCTATCCGAATTTGCAAAGATCGACGGCTGCAACGCTCAACTTCGTCCGCCCCAGGACCACCTAAGATATCATGGAAGGAGAAATTTCAAGGATATCGATGTATGTATGTACAAGAAACCTGTCCTGGGCCGATAAAAGGTGGGAATCATCCGGGATCTGGTCCTGACTAACCAGCAGTGTAATAACGGCAGCGGCTATAATTGCAGCCAGGGCTGGCCGTTCGGCGCGGTGTGCAGACCTGGTCTACTTCTTGATCGCAAGTCCCTTTCTCAAATAACAACTCGTATGCACCAGTAGACGGACGGAACGTCGGTAGGCACCGATGTGCTTGTGTCTCCAGACGCGATGTGCAGAGCATCTCTGTGTTTGGTCACCGGGAAGCGGCGTCGAAGTATCCGTTCAGCATGGATGAGATTCACCCGAGGATGGGCAACTACGCTTCTTTCGATTCAGACTTGTTCAAGCTCAGGAGATGCATGTATCTTCTGGCACAATGCCGTAGCCATAACCCACTTACGGTGTCTTCGGTGAAACACTTCTCCTCGCACTGTCATGGTTCGCGTTCAAGAGATATTTATGGCTGTCCGATAGCTTCCAGTGGCATTCCAGCCTCATAACTTCACCTGCAAGTATGTGATGAGTCTACGTCTACACAAGGTGTCTTCCTCCATACGCCTTTGTAGAACTCCTCTTCGTTCATGGAATGCAGCCAATCGGGGGTGCACAACCACAAGGCCCGCAGTTGGCTACGTTGAATATTCTATGTTATTTGGCTTTCATCACAGCGATGTCAGACTCACTGGGATCGGCTTCAGGATTGGCGTCTCTGGCGAGCAGGCCGTTTGCGTTGTCCTAGCCAAGAGAGGGTATGAGCGAAGCGTATCTCAACCAGGTTGCGCTCCTACCAATGGCTTGGCCATGGCCAGAGCCACGATTGAAGCGAAAGCGATTGCGAGGGTGAAGACGCGCATGGTAGGTTCCTATACCGTGAGCCCCCATATCTCTCTCTCTCTCTCTCTTATACAATCCTCCTAGTTCTGATATTAAACCGATAGTCCCGCTGACCCTTGTGCAATGACCAGGCGATAGGCCGCGGTCTTCTCGGTAACCCTTACTCTCGTCTTTCATATTCCTCATCTGCATGCATACGGCCTCGCGGCTTCAGGTACTTGTTACTCGGTCCCAAGAAGATGTCGCGCTTTCCGCTTACTCGTACAGCGCATAGGTGCGTGTTACGGCCTTTCATACACATGTTCACCTTGGATGCCGTTCCGACCCCAGTATCGTATTATGCACCAGACCTCCCCAGGGTTCGGCATGGAAAAGGTAGACCGACTCCTCCTAGTACTATCCTAGTGCCCCAAACAGGTGACTCATTACCTGAGTGGTGTTCTCCTAGACGATTGACAGTTCCGGACACCACGGACGTAGGGATGCGCCTGTCAGCAGGATCTTTACCGGGCGAGTATACGTGCCTCCGCATTTATCTCTCACGAGGAGTCTCATGTCCAGTTATCGCGTCCTATCCGATAATCCAGTCAATGAGGTATGTTGACCAATCGTTGCTCGGTCACAGCATCGATCCGCTTTCAACTCATCACTCACCCAAGTATTGCCCAAGTACTCTTTGCGCACTACAGGGCAAGTAATTGCATAATGGTACTATGCAATATTCGTAGCTCGAGCACCGTGCAGCGGCTTGCCCCCCACTCACTGGTATGTTGTGGATTACCAGGCCACTAACTGCTTGTACACAGTCATGACAGGCATAGACCTGTCCAGTACAATTTGTCAACGACTGTACAGTTGTTGCCCTGCGAACGACCAGCGGGCATCGTGATAGTACTTGCTACGGACGCACCATTAGACATTGGGAGCAGGGGGTAAGCGGCTGCAATATCCAGCTAATGCACCAGTAACAATATGCATCTGGTCACGGTGACCCCCGGGGAAGTAGAGCATAAAAACACCCTCGACGGCTGAGGTCCGTTCCTCAATGATCACTGACAGTGGCCAACTAGGTTTCCGCAAAGCAGGTTCGAAGTCGCAAGAACGGATAATCGAGGATTAAGGAAGCGTGTTGGGTCATAAATCAAGACAATACAGAGGTCTTCCAAGTACTGTACACTTAATGTACAGCCAGTGCTCTAAACACGTCCGCAAGGTCGTCTTGAAGGAGAGCAGCTGAGAAGGGCAATAAATACTATATGCGGATAGAATATTAAGTGATGATCCTGGGATATTACAAACAAAGACTCGACGAAAAGAGTCACATATGAACAGAAACAAGGGTACCGGACTATAGCGTGGAGTAGTGCTGCACAAAGAAATGTAGAGCTGCGGAACGATCGACGCCCTAATCAGCATTGTCGTTGACCGCGAAGCACGAGGCACTTACGAACAATCGCTCTATATGCACGAACGTTTACAAGACGCCTGCCGATCCTCAGCGCATCCTACTGACAAGCCTCTTCCTCTCCTCGTTCTCCAGAGCCTCTGCCTCCGCCTCAACATCCATGCCCACGCTAACGGGTATCATCCCATCCGCACTCCCAGCCCCGCTCCCCTCGCCCTCGCTCAAGTCCGCGCCACTGCCCCCATGGCCGAGCACCGTCCGCGCCGCCATCGCGCTGCCCTGCCCGAGGTCTGGGCTCACGCTGCCGTCCCGCGACACGCTCGGGCTCATCTCCACGTCGTCCCCGTGCTCGTGCTCAGGCAGGGGCGGCAGCGGCGGCTCATCGCTCGCATCGTCCTCCGTCAAATCCACCACATTGCCGCCTCCATTTCCAACCATTGTTGTGTTACGTGCGCGAAACCCGCTGCGCCCGCGCGGGATCCCGACACCCAGCCGCGTCGCGCCGGTGTCCGCTTCGACCTCCGTCTCCGCGCCCGCGCCGTCGCGCTCGACCGCGGCGGAGTCCATGACTACATCCCCGTCGTCTTCGGCGACGGCGATAGACTGCACGTCCACTTCGACGTCTTCCTCGAGATCTGCGTACGTGCGGCACACTGGACAAGAAAAGGCTGGGTGGTGAGAGTCTAACAGAGGCCGGATACATTTGTAGTGAAAGGAGTGGGAGCATGGAGCTATAAAGAGCGCCTGGTGAATGGTGATGCCAAAGAGGCAGATGCAGCAGTCCGAAAGCCCAGACTTGGGTGCAGTTTTCTTGTCGGAAGCCTTGGCTGTCGACGGGATCGCAAGTGCTTTCAGCTGCTTCAGCGCGTTCGTACTACCGCACAGTCAGCATCACCGAGAAGCCTTATCAGAGGGGAACTCACTTGAAGGCATTGGCAGCGGCTTGCCACTCCCTGCCCACTTCCACGCGGATCTTGACGCACTTGTATATATCCTCCGTCCCGCCCTGATAATCGACGCCCAGTTGGAGAATATCCCCGTCCTTGAGTTCGTGTGGCCGACTCTCCGAGTTCGCAGGGCTGAGCCGCACATGGTTGAGGAACGTCCCGCTCGAGCTTTTGGTGTCCTTGATGAAGAATTTGCCGCCCGCCTCGACCCAGATCTCCGCGTGGCTCCGGCTGACGACCTTGGACTTGAACGCGAGCTTGTTCGAGCCCATCGCGTTCGCCGCTGCGATGCCCAGCCCCGAGCGGTCCGTGAACCGGCCGATGCGCAGCGGCGTGTCGCCCTCGCGCACGTCGCGCTGGATGGGCTCGAAGCGCAGCGATCGCCGCGAATCGATGTGCGGGACGAGGCGGATGCGGTGCCCAGGTGCGTTCGACGACGCCCCACCTGCCGAGCGGGGCGGGCCGCTCGTCAGCCCTGGTGCGCTCGTGCTGATGGCCACTTGCGGTGTCGCGCCTGAGGCAAGCGCACCTGCTGATCGCCTCCTTCTAAGCATGCTCGCGATCCCGCTGCTCCCTTGCTGCTGCTGGGCGCTACCGCCGTTCTGCGAGACGGACGTCTGGATGGGCGCTGTGCCGCTCCCGCTGACTGCTGCGGGTCGTCGACGATGGCCAGGGCCCGGCGACGGCGATGGCGGTGAGTGTGCTGGAACGGGTGGCGGCGAAGGTTCTTGTTGGTCGCGGTTTGAGGGGTCCAGATGGATGTGCGATTGAGAACTCCCTCGTGGGCGGCCACGCAGGAAATTTCCGAGTATATGGTGCCGCACGGGGGGTGACTCGGCTCCTACGTGAGGGGTAAAGGGATCCATTGTTGGTTCTTGATACGTCCTGGGTACACGGTATTTGTTCGAGTTGGTGGAAAACGCTGGCTGTGCGAACGAGTGCCGGGAGTCTCTGTACTAGGGTCGGGTGGCTGTCCAAGACGTCCGCTGGCAAGCTCTCTGGAGTCGTTAAAGCAAAGTACGCTGGCAAAGATGCGCAACCAAGGCTTGCTGTGGGACAGCAAATTGCTGCTAGGAGCAGAACAGGAGCAGGCGGAATTAAACCCTGTGTGTGACGGAAGAACGCCCCAATTTGGGCTACCGTCAGCCACGCGCTGGGGCAGTCCAGATTTCCGAGACCCGACCGTCGCTCTATCTAACCGCTCTTTCGCGATTTACGGTGCGGTACACGAGCCTCGAATGGCCTAGCTGACGTCCAATAATTCGCTGTTTGCCTTTAGCATGACGAGCAGAACGAGCTCGAAAGTGCTGCTGGACGATACCAGTACAGTTTCCATTTTTGGATATGTCAGACGTTGATGCACGCGCCAGATTTTACGCGGATATCTCGCACGGACGTCTTCCATTCAGCCTCTATCAACTTTGTATGGGCTGTGGAAGTCAAAGACCTCGCAACGAGGCATGTTATACTCTGCGATGGCAGGCCAATTATGTCCTGCAGACAGCATGCGGCGGTACTCAGGCACAGACCGCCCCACTTTTGGGATATGTTCCACTCTCGGTTCCGGTTTCACGCGACGTTATACTGAACGCCTGTAGGCCGATCGTTGTTCCTGAAGTCCTAAAAGATCCGAATAATGTACATGGCGCGGAGAATCGAAATACTACATCATCCTATGTGTGCGAGGAAGATAACTTTCAGACTCATTACACAACGAGGAGATTGTTGTATTCGCAGACTATTGTTTTACAGGACGCCACGTCGGCGTACTAGGGACCATTCGCAGTGACCCGAAAGTGAATGTGACAATTAAGTGAGTCTACCATTACTGGCTGAAATTAGCACGGATAGTCGGGGTGACGAAGGATACTTACTACATCTCTATACATGAGAGTTAAATACGGGCGGAGATACAGTGCGCCCTCATGCATCATGTCTGGCAACTGAGAGAGGATTATGTCAGTGTTCGCAATCAACACAGAACTTGCAATCCGATACGTACTCTCTGGGCCCATGAAGGTAAGGGTACAGATCGCGGACCTGTCGAAGAGTTCGCTTAGAGGGCATCTCTGGGGATTGATACTGAGAGAACTTACAACCTGCCCGACTTCTCTGCCATGAGATAGACTTCGGGACTTGACGAACGGGAACGGCTAGGCATGTGTTGGATGAACGCGAATCCACGAAGACTGAACGGATACTGACAACAGGAGACGCATTACACGACCAAACGAATATACCAGCGGCAGCCAAAAGAGCGAAGAACTGCATATTGAATTGAGAATACAAAGAGCGTAGAATGTAGACGTGACTGCCAAACAAGCAGGATTGTTGCCAGCTTTTGTACGAGGGCGGGCATGTCAAAGCATGGGACTCAGCCAGACGTGCAGTCCCATGAATCCTATACCGCCCGTCCGAGCCGTCCAAGTCAGACCGCTGGGGCAAGACTCGTCAACTTAACGCATTGCCAACACAAGAGAGCGCCCATATTCTCAAAAGGAACCCGGTGACACACGCCTGCTTTGTTCGGGTTCAATATTTTGTGCTCCGTACTCTCCGTACGTCCCTTCTCGCTCTTGCAGCTACAGGTCTCGTATTTGCGTGGCTTTCTGACGCTTCACTTGCTGCAGGGAAAGATCGTCTGTGAAAGTCCAGGCAGATCGCCGTCGGTGGGCATACCAACGCTTGACACCCCTGGGACTTGCAGTCCACTATATCAGTCACCGCCGCCCCAAGTCAGATGGTTAGGCTGTCGAGCATGTCCCGCTCGGACTGGCATGCAATGCAAACAGAGACAAGTACCCAATTCACTGGAGGAATCCAAGCGAAGTGCAGCGATTCACGGGTTTCTAGGTCTTTCCCAGTGCCCGTGCGACTTGCTGTAGCCTTAGGAGACTGCGGCAGACGTCAAGGCTGTCAAGAGGGTTCTGCCAGTAATTCCAGCGCCCACATTGCCTCGTCAGGTCCTCTGACTTCTTACCCCCATGAGACGCGAGTTGGTTGAATAGTGACATTCCTAGAGTCTAGCCACGTTATACGCAAGAGGACGCCAGGAGCATATTCTTATCAGGAAGCGAGCGTAAGTATATCGAGGACCAGCGTAAGTCTGTCAATGACATCATATGTTAGGAACTAAGATGATGAAATGCTCACTTGTCAATGTTTCAATCTCCTCTGCCCGTTGTGGGCGGCCCCCTGTAAGTATTGGAACTTTACGGAAACGGTTCCTCGGCCTGCTTGGCGATCATATACCCCTCGGGCGCCGTATTCATTTCCATCCCCACTCTAAACCTTTCGACATATCAATCGATGTTGACATCCATCGACCTTCATTGACTCCATCGAGCAGGGTGCGCCGGCAATTCAGAATATCCATGCCCACAAAAGCCCCCGAAATAACCAATCGCGAGGCCATGTCGTTTGGTGATTCTTGGACATGAACGACTCGGACGAGCGGGCATAGACGCGTCCAGTCGAGCTTGCTAACGGCGGGGGAGTTGTTTTTGTCCCACCAACATCGCTGGCTCCCATCCATGGTCAAGCAGCCTTCGTTCACGGCTATCAGAGGTGCGTTGTATTCTGAAGTGTAGAGTCAACTTGAAGGAGCTGATTGTGCTTTGAAGTCGTGGTCAGCATCGTCCACCCGATAGCGATTCTCTGTAGTGCGTTCCGGCTCTTGTACCGATGGCGGCGGCGGCGGTTTTGGTGGGACGACGGCGTCGCTGGCTTCTCGATGCTCTTTGACATCGTTTTCTTCGTCGTCATATGGATCCGGACGTATGCCTACCGTCCGTCTTTCATTTCTTCCCGTGTCTCAACACCATCAATCTGATACCTTGTGCGCAGGACAACCACCTCATACCCGGATAGTCACCTACTGGATCGTGTCCATGGCGTTCACCTTCGTGCTCTGGTTTGCTTTGAGAGTTTCCGTGGATACGAGGAACCTTACAAGCATAACCCTCTAGGTCCGCCCGCCTGAGCATGCTCCTCTCCATCATCCGCATCATCCCGCCGCCTCTCGTTCTCCGCCGGCTGGCGTACGGCGCCGCGGCGCTGTTCGTCTGCATCTGGATCGCGCTCGTCTCGCAGAAGGCGTACAAGTGCGGGAAGGCAGAGCGCGGGTGGATGGAGGTCAAGCCGTGGACGCAGTGTCGCCTGGGGCGGAACGTCGCCGTCACGGAGCTCGTCAGTGCGTGCCGATCCAATTTTGTTCCTGCGCACGAAGTCTAGGGTCGCTTATGCGGAGGTGTGCAGCTGATTTCGTCGGGGACGCGGTCCTGGTGTACCTCCCCGTCCAGCTGTTGTGGCATGCGCGGAAGTTACCATCGAATCACCGCACCCTCCTCCTAGTCGTGTTCTCCGGGAGCATGGTGACGACGCTCGTGAGCATCCCACACGCAGTGATTGTCATGGGCCCCGAAGGCCAGCTGGAGGGTATCACGGCGCACATCGAGGTTCGTCGGACTCTCTTTCATGCCACGTGACAGCATATACTCATTCGGGGTATACTGTATGCGCATTCAGGCTGGCATATCGCTCATCGTCGCGAACCTCCTCGTCCTGATGACGTTACTGTATCGCGTCCTCCCCTCTGCGCGGCGGCTCGACGACGACTCCGACGACGCGCTCCCCGACACCCGCCCAGACGTCTCTGTGCGCGCGACGCGCGCCTCGCAGTGGGTCACGCGCGAGTCTGGCGTCCCGGACAGCTTCGATTTGAAGTTCCTATCCACCACCGCTGGGGGGCGCTCGAGTACGGGTACGCGGGGGGTCGCGATGAGCAGCAGGGATCATAGAAGGTTCGGCGAGGTCCTGGAGGAGGAGGGGTCCGTCAAGTCTACGGATCCCGGCTGAGGTTGTGAGGAGTTTTTTTTCGGTTCATGATGCGATGCGTTTATGAGATGTTTGCTTGTCTGTATACCAACTGCCCGTGAGTGATGATGTTGATTTCTTTTCTCGCGCAATCATAACTTAATCCTTAGCTTTCCCCGCTATACATAGCCGCTCCTTTAATCCCGATACTTCCTCATCCCGCAAGAGCCTATCTATTACTATCTATCCTCATGTCGCTGTACTGTAGCAAGCCGGTTGTAATGCCCTAATTCCGTTTTCATTCGGACTACTCGGGGTTCATGCCCGTTGTAGCGCATGCATACGTCGACGTTCTGCCTCCCGGTGGTCTGCGTACGACGTCAACGGGTTGTGCAGATCCCCGGTGCGTCCAAGTTCCGGGTTGCTGCCCGAAGTCCGGAGCTGGCAATTCCGGACGTCGTGTAGAAGTGTGCACTCGATGTCACGAAGCTGAAACAAAGATATCGGCAGCCCTCGACGTCATGGGCAGCGTACGCACATGCTGAGCGCCGCCGGACCCGACGGCGAAGAGGACCCCTGAAAATACCGATAGATGCCGGTGCCAGTCCGGACAAAAATTGCGGCTCGGGCAAGGGACGCCGGAGCCAATCCGGACGTCGGTAGGGGTCTCAGCCGGCCAACCCGGTTTTTTAGTCCGGACATCAACGGCACCCCAGCAGTGAGGCCGGTTGTAGTCCGGACATGGTCAGCAACCCGCCACTTTGTCGCGACTAGTACATTATCAATCATTAGATTCATTACCCCGTATGGTATTTCTCACCGAATAAGGATAGACATGCCTCCCCTGTAGTCGTGAACCCTCGGGTACTTACCCCTTAGTTGCACGGAATTATACAGTTTACGCTGAAATCCGGAGGCACACATGGAAGACACAGCTGGGTGCCGGATGGCTCCAATATCGCTGCGGTATCGTATCTCGCCGTCCAGGGCTACGAAGCCATGAACGGGCGGGTATTTCGCACTGTCTCTCAGACCCTGGCAATGCTCGCTGCCTGCCGAATCACTCAATTTGCCTGCCACGTCTATCCTTTGCATGCTGGAGACAAGCCCGAAGGCTCTTCCGTTAACTATTGAACTTTCTACCTCAGACTATGCACGTTTCAGGTTTTCATACACCCTAGTATATATATCTAGTGTCTAGAATGGACTTGTGGACTACAACGGGTGATTTTTGCTGTTTCCTAGAGGCCGGGGCAATAGTCCGGACATGAATCTGACCTTGGCCGAGGCCGGTATTTTATTCGGACATAAAGGCGGGGGGCCCCCAGAAAAAGTCCGGACATGACAAAATCGAGTCTTGCACCGGCATCTATCGGTATTTTCAGGGGTCCTCGGCGAAGAGACTGAGCGCCATAATTAAGCGTGGGTTCCTGTGCCGGCGGGCGACGCTGACAGCGCTAAGAGGATCGTCCACGAATAACCAGGCCGTCAACGTCATCTCGCACTCAAGATGTGCCTCGTTTCTCTGCCGACGACGCTGACAGCGCGCTGTTTCATTCCATTTCGTGGCTCCATCGTCGTCTCGCTCGTCTGTTGTCCGAGTCTCTGTATATACCCGCCGCTGCTCAGACTGGATCTGCTAGCCCGAGCTATCTTTATGTCCTCGACACACTTTAAGCTCGACTCCTAATTTACCCGTCCCCATCCCACACAACGCGCCATGAAGAGGATCCGCCAGAAGCTCTCGTCTTCGGATGTGAAAACGCCCACGAAGGCCGCGTATAGAGCGCCGGAGGTCGTCGAGCCCCCCCCGTTTCTCCCTATTTCTGCGCGCTTCGCGACCACCACGGGAGCTGCGCAGAACGCGGCACCCACGAGTACGAACGCGGAGCGAAGCGCAAGGGACCGGCAGTCGAAGGTGCTTGCTGTCTCTTCTCCTATGCCGCTAAGTCAACGGGATAGCCGCGGACCCAGCGAGAGCGCGGTGCATGGGCGGAGGTCGGGCTCGACGAGGGCGCCCGAGGAGCGCGAGCGGACGGTGAAACATGCGTCGCGGCTGCAGAAACGGCAGCCTGAAGAGAAAGAAAAGGTGTCTGGGTCGAGTACGAGGGGGAGGAGCTTGGACGGTAAGTGTCCATCTTAGCTGCTCCACTGATGATTGACGCTGTAATATTTGGCAGTGCGGGGTGATCGTGATCGACGAGAGCACGGAAAGACGTATCCGACGCCCTTGTCCTCGCACCAGCCCTCGGTTTCTCCTTCGCGCCATGCTCAGACCAAGCCGAGTGCTTCCCGGTCGCAGTCTGTCGCCCAGGCTCAGTATCATCGTGAGGAGAGGGAGAGCGGGACGAGCAGGACTCTGCCTTCTCCGTCGGTCTCGCCGCCTGCCACGCCTCGTCTTGCACCAAGGCCGACCCTGTTCAGCTCCCGGACGAAGGAGCACGAATATGCGACCGATGTCCCCGCCTACGCGACGCGGGAGAACGCGCAAGCTCGATCCCAGTCATCTGCGCGTCCGCCTGCATCTCCTCTGGATGTCGGCCATAGCCAAAGCCAGAAGCGAAGCAATCGACTCCCGACTCCTCCCTCTCCTCGAAACCATCACACGTTGTTGCATAATCACTCATCTGTATCTCAAGACCCTGCTGTATCTTCAACCCGTTCTCGCTCTCAAGTACCAACCCAGTCATCTGCTCAGCCACATTCACCTCGCATCGTTGCTCAATCTCACGCTTTCCTCCAGTCACCGTCTCAGATCTCTCTGCACTCTCCTTCTGCTCATGTATCTGCTCACCCTGCTTCCGCTCGCGCTCAGTCTCACTCCGCCACTACACCTACCATCGCCTCAAGATCGTCTCGCTCCTCGAGCGAGAAGGAAAAGGAAAAAGAAAAAGAAAAAGACAAACATAACCTGCGCCATAAAAACCGCCAAGTTTTCCACCAGCCTCACGAAGGCAGTCCTCCCGATCTATCCACGAGCAATTCCCCGTACGCCCACAGTCAGCTCACCATCGGCAGTCCGAACTCGCAGAACAAGGACCTCTCGGCCGACTCATCTCCGTCCGGACTCGGAGACCCGTCGCTGGCAACGCCAACCAGAAAGGTAATGTCGCTGCCTATTTTGTCCGTTGATCTTTTGCTTCCGGGCCTGTGGCGCGATGTCAACGGAGTCCCCTGATTGGCTGCCGTTTATTGCGAGCGTTCATGGGAGTTCCCGGGCCAGCAATGGCCCCGAGTTTGCTCGGGGACTGTGTGCTGCTCCTGCAACCTATATTTTCCTCGTTCTCGTTCCAGGCAATTCGAGGTGTTGCGCGATTTTCATAATCTGCGACGACACGTTCGTCCCGTCTTCGCCATGGAAGACTCCCGTCGCATTAATTAAACGTTCTCAAGGGGACGATGACGCTATCTGTCGTCGTTGACTGTTGACTTTGTTCCTAAAATGTCATGCTAACGCTGTACGCACATACAGGAACGGCATGTCATCGATTTGCGATCAGAAGAGCCGGAGACAATGGTCGCTCGAGGCACAACGTCCGACGAGTTCACCGCTCCCCCTGCGCCCGACTCGGTAAGTCCCTCCCACGCATAATTGAGTGCCGCGACCCCGTACGGCATCCTATACATACGACCCCCCATAACACGAGGCTCCTGCTGATTGGCAACCCCAAACCTGCGGGCTATAGAAAAGAGGTTGATTGCTAACTCTAATTTTACGGAATGTTCTATAGGGCTCGTCGACGACCGCGACAAGGGAGCCTTTATACCCGCGCGACGAGCGTATTTCTCCTGCCAGTGCCCCAGCCGCCCCGGACTACACCTACGCGATGGAGCCCGCGTCCCCCGCATACCCGCACGGACCCGTGAGGGGCAAGCCGCTCATCTTCGCTGCGATGACTTCGAGCGGGGAGCTGGAGCAGCTCGTTGCTGCTACGCCCGAGCGGAACAGCGGGAGCCACTCCAACTCGTATGGATACCCGTCGCCGCCCCTCGAGCCGCTGTCAGTCCCCGCCGACGACCAGCCGGATACCCATACCCCAAATACCCATACGCATTCCCCGCTGCAGCCGTCCCCGCTCCTGCAGCCTGAACCGGAATCCAGCCGGACTCAGCACCGCCACAGTTACGGTGCAGAGGGTGAGTCGTCGTCGATCCTCTTCTCGCCGCATACCTCCATTCGCAAGCTGTTCAAGCACCGGTCGCGGGACGAGGATGGGCGAAAGCCCGGGCACCGGCGATCGTCGTCGGAAGGGGAGACGCACTCTAGTGGGGGTCACCTGCTGAAGCATGCGAACTCGTCTGCGCAAGGGTCCGTTCAGACGCCTCAGCGGCCGAGTAAGCTGCAGAAGCGCGGGACCCATTCTAGCAAACCGTCATTGGCGAGTATGGAAGCCGTTATGCAAGCGCCGCCGGATGAGGATGCTCAAATGCATTCCGAGGACCGCCCTGAGACCCCGCCACCGCCACCTCCGAAACCAGCATCGTATGGTCTCCTATCGCCGCGGACGCCCCCAGCCGATCTGCACGTCCCTGACCACGAGCCCGAGCCGGCCGTTCAAGAGTTGAATGATCCGACGTCAGTGCAAAATGACAAGCTCGATATGCATGATGAGCCAGCGCGGGATGACCCGCCTGCCCCAGCGCACGCAGAGCAGGAGGTGGAGGTTGCTGCTATGGACGAAGACAGGGAGCCTGAGCCCGTGCATACGCCTACGGAAGCTGCTGCGAAACCGCCGACGCCGCCGATGTCGCCCGACGAGTATTCGCGCTCGCGCTCGCGAAGAAGGGGGGAGAGGCTGGAGACGTCGCCGCCGCCTGGTATCGCCGAGGTCGTGGAGCAGACAAAGGGGAAGGCTAGGAGGATACCGATTACTCGTGGTATTCCTTATCCCTTGGTAAAGCACCTCTCGAACCCGGAGTTGCTCGCACCGCTCTTGGAGCACCTGAGGTTTTGGGACTGGTGCAATTTGGGATCGACTACCAAGACGATTATGCGGATGTTCGCGAAGAAGAGGGAGCTCCGGGAGTGCGTACTGGAGAGGTACTTGGGCTCGGTCGGGTATTCGAGGTGGATCTGGGAGGAAGAAGAGCCTTTGACGCTGTCCATCAAGGTCGGTACACATTCCGCGAATCTGTGAAGGTTTGTGAAGTAACAATTCTTTAGGATATGCATGCGTATATGCAGGGGGTGTCCATGCCCACTCACCAGTACTGCCAGATGGCCCAGATGTACCTTCAGTCCCCGAGGAGCAACACTGATATCATTCGTAACCTAGCGTTCTGTACGCGCTCCTACAATCGCGTCGTTCTGCGCCTGCGTGCCCAGGCTGAGATCATGGAGCGCTATGCTCGTCGCCACAGACTATCCGACGCTTCTCGTGATCCGAACGGTCATCATTCGCGAGCACCCACCGTTGCTGGTCGGTCGCAATCTAGGATGCCGAGCCGCGCGCCATCGCCCAACTCGTTCCACGGCAGGGCTGCTTCGAATAGCTATTCTAGATCGGCGTCTCAGAGCAGGTCACCGTCCCAAGCGCGCCCAGCCGCGACGGTGCTGCAGTCTTCGGTATCGGGCGCTTCGACTATCAATAGCAGTTCCTCTGGGACGTTCCGTTCGCCGCTCTACCGCGTTCGGCGTGCGCCTCTGCTGTATGTGTTCGTTCCTTCTCCCGAAGGAGAATGGCTCTCGGACGCGAGTGTTCTGGAGTGTGAGGCTGAGCTCAAGCGGGCTGGCGTCGCACACCTGCTCAGGCCAGGGGATGTCGTCTGGGATACCGCCGTGGGCGACGAAGGAAACATAGGCAGGATGGTGTGGGACGGGGGTTACTTACTCGTGCGTTCTCGACATTCTCTTTCCTCCTGGTCTCTTGCCTAACTGTGTTGTCTAGGATCTCGATTACACGTACTCGATGTCCGGCGAGCTCCCGCAGTACATGCATTCGCTTGCATTCCCGCCATCGTACTTCCACCGGGTCATTCGGTCGGTCAATAACCCGATTTGCTATCTCGACATATCACCATGGAGTGAAGAGATCGCGAGCAACCTGCAGCTCCTGCAGGATCGTGTAAAGACCGAAACGTAAGTTACACGCAGCCATGTAGGATCGAGTCGCTAACTGAGGATCTACAGCCCGCAAGGCAACTATCATACCGTGGTGCGGTGGGTCCACCGCTCTAGCTTCGTCATCAAGCCGCCCTCCATCAAGATGCGCATCCCCAATACCGATCTCTTCATCGACTCGGGCTGGTTTGGTACTGTCGTTGTTGAAGCCGAGGGTACCAATGAAGGCCTCGCTGACCTGCAAGATCGATGCAGAGATGCGTTCCCGCCCAGGGCCGGAGGCGAGAGGAAGACTCCCAGCCGGGTATTCAGAATCTTGCGTGAGCGAAGGTGGGTCATTACTTTGCTAAGCTCGTGGTTGCTTTGGCTGACTGATGTTGAATGTAGTCGCCCTGGCGAAATATGGATCCGAACCGTTAGGGAGAAAGAGCGGTTGATGTAGCAAAAATATTTATATACATGGACGTTCTAGCGACTTGGCTTCGGACGTTCTCGGACATGCCCTGACCCCTCCCAGTAGCCTTCATCCGTCTCTCGTATCTATAAGCTTGTAATCCCTATTTACCCTATCCGCTGTTTACCCCCCTTGTAGCAAAGTAGTTAATGTGTTGTAGTCCGATGCTGTCTCAATCCATATCTTCAGACCGTCGCCCAAATCATCTTGAAGGCCTCAGACACAGCGCGTCGCGAAATGCCCGTCCCTGACGTCTGCGGGAAATCTCTGGTTCCATCATGGTGGCGCGTTCGATGTTACATAGGGAAAGGTTTGTACCACTTCCTACGTCTCCGCCTATCTCCATCTGCACGTCCATGCCGGGCAATGGATTCGGATTTTGTGGGAAAATGGTGATGTGGGATGGTGATAGCCTTCGAAGAGTCAGCCTCGTACTTCGCCAGAGGCACCAGTTCCGGGGAGACGTAATGGAAATCTGGATACTCGGGCCCGTCCCAAGGAGTTCCGTCCACAGCGAACGGCAGTGAGGGTACGTCATCGAATGCCACGTACTCCGAGTCCAGCTGCGCGCGGGAATCAGCATGAATGGCCGGTGAGCGAGAAGTAGGACCATGGAACATGTTCCAGTCGCTGTCTCAAATGTCAGCATAAGAGCAGTATTGAGAGTCATTTATCTCACATGTTGTCAAAATAAGGATGCGCTTTGATATCTTCGACGCGAGTTAATCGTCGTTCTGAATCTCTATTGAGAATCTGGGAAAGACAGGGTCAGAATTAATGAGGTGTAATGTTAATATTAACAGGGGGGGCTACCCACTTTCTGCAGGAAGTCTTGCGTTTTGGCATCTACACGAGTGTGACCAAAATAGAGGGGGTCCTGCATTATGCAATTGACCAAGTCTTCAACATAGCGAGCCCGACGTCCAAATGGAACCTGACGAACGATAGAGACTCAGTACGAGCTATCAACATACGGTACGCAAACGTACCTTGCCAAAAAGCATCAAATATAGAAGAACCCCGACCGCCCAAAAATCCACTTCATAACCATACGACTCGCCGACGAACATCTCCGGCGCCATGAACGCCCACGTCCCCGCGTCCCCGCTGACCTTCTCCTCCTCGTCGTACTCGTCGAACGCGACTGACAGCCCGAAGTCCGCGAGGACGACGGCGCCGTCTGCGGAGAAGAGGACGTTGCCGGGCTTGATGTCGCGGTGGATGAGGCGCAGTGCATGGAGCTCGGAAAGGGTTGAAATCTACGTGAGGAGAGGTCAGGACTTGAAAGCACTTGGGAGATGATAAGATGGAGAACGTACTAAAGAAGCCGTAATAAATTGAGCGCGTGAAGGAGAGAGCCGCTTCACCCTCCTCAGCTCTCGCGCGAGCGACCCGCCAGGACAATACTCCTACGCCCAAACAACCCGCATCAGCCCCCCACCCCCGCACACCCACCCATCCTCACGCAGCACTCACCATAACCAAACAAAACCCCTCCCGCTCCTCAAAGCTCGCCATCATCTGCACCGCCCCGCGCACGCCCACGACGCGTCTCAGCGCCTCCTGCTCCCCGCGCACCCACACGTTGCGCTCCATGTGTTTCTTCACTAGCTTGACGGCGACGAGCCGCCCCGAGGCGCGGTGCCGCGCGGAGAAGACGACGCCGGAGGCGCCCTTGCCGAGGCGGGCGGTGCAGGCGAAGGACGCTAGGGACAGCGCAGGGGAGGGGGCGGAGGGGGTGAAGAGGGTGGGCGTGGGGCTGGGTGGGAACTCAGCGGGGTCGAAGAGGGTAGGGGAACGGGCGGGTGACTGGGTTGCGGTCAGTAGGGGCAAGGGTGATATGAGACTGACAGACGAACTAGGGAGCATGCATCTCTTTCGCACACCTCGTCGATGCCGGGCGTTTGATACGCGGTGCGTGGAGAGCCGGGATATTTCCGTCGTCCGGGGAACTTTCATCCAGGTCAGCTTCGATGCAGACGCATATATGGAGGGTACGTACATCCTTTGAGCCCTCCTGCTTGTCATGGTAGTCTGCAGCCTTCCTCCCGTATCCTCGGTCCTTCACAGCCCGTACGACCGATCGGATAGTAGCAACCATAGCAAAGACCGACAAATGACGACGAACAGGAAATAGCTAAACCTCGAGGGAAAAGCTGGCATTGCATTAGGAGAGCTCGCCGCTATATACCTCGTCTGCGGGTGGCTGGCAGGATGCTACAAGGTGGTATGGCGTGCCAGACCAAATTAGAATTGGAATCATTCGGGAGAGGCTTGACGCGGCCTGGGCAGTCAGTCGTGATTGAAACCGTGATTGCATGGCTGAGGACACTAACAGGGGCACCATGTCCCGCGTGCATATAGCGTCCACTGCGATCCGTAAACGGATGGTAGAAAAGGAATGCATCTATGTAGCAGACGATCAGTAGCCGACAGTCAGGCCGGGACAATGCAAAACATGAATCACTCACAAGCGAAATGGAAATTTCATGCTACATCCTGTTAGTACAATAACAAATTCCTGATACACACCCCCGCGTATCTCGTACGATACATCCATACCGACACTGAGACCACTCCCCGCCTCCCTGCTTTCAATGTTCTCCTCGTCGAGCGGCGGCGCCTTAATCAAACACCGCCCCACCATCAATAATAATCTGCATCATATACAATCAATAATCCAACTTCCCGACCCACCCAAGACACAGCTCAGGGTAGAACGGAAGAATTACTCACACTCTGCCCGGTAATGAACCTGGCAGCGTCCGAGACGAGGTAGGATACCAGGCCCGCGACGTCCTGTGGCGTGCCCAGGGTTCCCGTCGCGGTGGTGGCCTTTTGCTGTGGATATATGGGTTCTCAGTAATCTCAGTCCGCTGGAAGGAGAGGGAAGAGGACGCGTACCGCTTCGCGCCAGGAGCCCTTGGGAGCGCCGGATTTGGAGGTGTGGTACTCGTCGAACTTTGCGACTGAAAGGATGTGTGAGGATCGACTCGGTGAGTGGTGAGCGGACGTACGGAAATCGGTGTCTATGGGTCCCGGGGCGTACGCGTTCACGGTGATGCCGTGTTTTCCCCATTCCTGAGCTGGAGTGAAAGTAATGAGCGTGCATGGATAGAGGGTCAGCAGGATTTACCTGCGCTCTGGGTGAGCCCGCGGACGGCGAATTTGGACGCGGAGTACGCCGCTGCTTCGGGCGTGCCTGGAATTCAGGATTCATGGGGGAGAAGGGGTGAGATGCATATGTAGCTGCGGTCGTGCGGGATGGTACCTTTCTTTCCGACGATGGAGCACGCGCCTGTGTGAGACCGATTTCAGTGCTAGTCTAGCGCATACAGCCCAAGATTGATACGCCTAGAAGGGCTGACGTACCTACAATCCTCCCGCCTCTCCCTTGCTTTATCATCTGCTCGGCAGCGTACTTGTAGCAGAGGAAGGTCCCCTTCGCGTTGATGCTCATTAGGCGGTCCCATTCATCGGCGGACGCTGGAATACCCTCTGAGAAACCTGATGCGTAGCAAGTCGGGGAGAGGCCTCACTATCGAGGATAGGTTTATTCACGGCGACACCCGCATTGGCTACCATCTACGAACGGATATCGTCGGTCTCAGTGCAGATGTACCGTCGGGATCCCGTGCTCACCGCGTCAAGCCCGCCTAGCTCGTTAGCCACGGTGTCTATCAGATCTTTCACCCTCCTTCTCGTTGCTGACATCTGCGACGACAATAACGACTCGTTGCTCCTGCTGTATGCGGTGAGCGGTCAGGTCTCTCAGCACATCGTTCAGCTTGTCGGCGTTCGCTGCAATATCGTTGATAGCAAGGTCGAAGCCGTCCGAGGCCAGACGGACTGCGATGCCCCTGCCAATTCCTTGAGCGGCTCCTGTGACAATGGCAACTTTCCTCGCAGGTGTAGCAGACATCGTTGCAAGTGAACTGGGACTGAAGTCGATTGTTGACGTCATGTGACCGAGTCAAAACATAGACATCTCGACATCTGCACAGTGTGGGGTAAACGCCGATATTTAACCGGGCATCCTCCTCCTGCAACGATGGCTAGCTACAGGAAGGAGAAAGACGAGAAACTTATCGAGCTAGCGCGTAACCTCAAGGGAACGCCATGGTGCGAAGAATATGAGAAGATGATTTCTGGCATGCTGTTCGTGTTAGCATGCATCGACTGAATATTTGCTGACCTCGTCCTTCGATCTATGTAGGTATGATCCCCTGCATCCTAAACTGCTGGAGGGCCGTCACACAGCACGCTGTACTGCGTACGAATTCAACCATCTTGATCCGAGCACACTCAGCGTCGACGAACAGCGCACACCCAGCAGCTCCTCCTGCAGAACATGCTCGGCAGAGTCGGGCCGGGCACCTTCATCGAGCCGCCCTTCACCCCCGACTACGGGTGCAACACCATCATCGGCAAAAACTGCTTCTTCAACTTCAAGTGCGGCCCCCAGTCGCGTCTGCGTGCTGCCGCCTGACATCCTGACTCACCGCAGCTTCACCGTCCTGGACGTCAGCCTCGTCGTCATCGGCGACCGCGTCCAGTGCGGGCCGAACGTGAGCATCTACTGCGCAGGGCACGACACCTCCGTCCTCTCGCGCATCAAGTTCGTCGAGTACGGCCTGCCCGTGCGCATCGAGGACGACTGCTGGATCGGCGGCGGCGCCATCATCCTCCCCGGCGTCACCATCGGGCGCGGGTGCACGATTGGTGCGGGCTCCGTCGTCACGAAGGACATACCACCGTATTCTGTCGCGATTGGCGCACCGGCGAGGGTGGTGAAGAAGTTGCCTACTGTCGAGGAAGAACGCGCGGATCCCAATAATATTTACAATAAACTTCCCGATCGAGAGTAGATAGCCAGATGTTGGTGAGCGACAAGAAGGAGGAGAAAAGTTCCCTGCCTATGGGTGTACTATTGTACTCGAGTTCTCGACTGATGTTGTCTCTTTGCGAACATCCCCCTTCGAGCAGGATGGCACTTGTGGGGGTTTCCCCGGCGTGCGAGAGAAACCCGGACAAGCCTTCGCCCATCACGAAGGCGGCGAGTCATTATTGCAGCGGCATCGTGGGGCAACTTCATCTCGGCCGATACGGCCAATTCCGCAACACCCTCTCCGGATCCTCCGCGCCCATGCGCACATATCCCTCCTGCAGCTCCCAATTCCTCCTCACCGCCTCCTCATACCCCTCCTCGGTCACCCATCCGTCGGCGTCCACCCCCAGAATGCGATCCAGCCCGTCTTTGCCGTCCTGCGCGCGCTGCCAGTCCTCGCGCTCCTCCAGGTGCGCCTGCCTCTCCTCCTCGGTGAAGCTGATGGGGCAGGGCACGCTTGCGCCAGGGGCGATGGCGTCCCAGTGCGCGGTTATGCGCATGAGGAACTCGCGCAGGAGCATGAACGTGCTGGACCACACTTTCGCGGAGAACTTGACGGGGTAGTGAATCAACTCTCGTGTCGCCAGGGTGAGCGCTTTATGATACTCGGGGTTGATCCTCGCACAGTAGATTTCGTACAGTTTATGCAGATTGCCGCGGTACACATCCGCCTTGACGGTGGCTTGGTCCTCCTCATCTAAAGTATTGAGGTTCTCCGGCAAAGAGAGCAATTGGTCCCCAGCAGGCAGGACCGTGGTGCCGTGGTACCGGAACATTTTGGGTACGTACGCTTGCAGGTATAAAGGAAGGAGCGTCGTATGCTGCCAGTCTATCACGCTCGTGATCTGCACCTCCCCGCGAGCCAGCGCCTCCTCTGACGCGAACACATTCGCGAAGCGCACGTCGTTGTGCCAGAGGAGCGGTCTTAGCAGCGGAGGGTCCTGGGGTACCAGATACGGGGCGACGGCAATGTAGCGGTCCAAGAGGGATAGGTGGGCGCGCGGCTGGCGGAGGTGCACTGGCAGGTCGAAGAGGCCGGATTCCTGGGCGGGGACGGCGTGCTTTTCTATCCAGCGCCGTTCGCAGTTCGCCACGGCGAGCACGTATGACAAGGGGTCCTCCCCTAGATAACAGGATGTTCAGCCAAAGACGAACGCAAGGCAGTCGGCGTGCGTACAAGGACCACGATCGACGTCCATGCTTGACCGTTCGTCGGACCAGAAAGGCCTCTCGACAGAAGGCCCCACCACAAAATCGGACTGGTACTCGTCGTTGGGATACAGATTTAGGGATTGAGATGGATCCACGTCGGCTCTGTAATATAAGCTGCCATACCCTCCGGATATGGGAGCCATGAGGCGCTTCTCGATCTCCAACCAGTTGATCACCAGCTCCCTCTGTTGCCTCCTCGAAAGCTTGTCCCAGACGGTGGAGACCTCAATGCCCGGGGCTTTCTCCATGATTATATACTCCGCTTCCACGGGAGTCTGCTCGCTATGGGATGACCATGAGAGAACAGCCGGCACAGGTACACCTAGACGACTGCGGACGAAATCCATCGTCGCGACCTCGCTCGCGGTCACGAGATGCGCTGGGCCCGCATGCGGCGTTTTGATGCGCGCAATGATCTCTCTTGAGTTGTCGAGTGTTAGCAGGAAGACCTTGTTGTATGCCCCTTCTGCCAGTTTGACGATACGCGTAACAGAGTCCGCATGCCCAGCAGAGACAGCGATGCTCTTGAGAGCGTCAACGTTGAACCTGGTGTACCTGGCAGCTAGTTGGGCTTCCTCGTTGTGTATCCACCGCCCCGAGGTGTACCGGTAGAAGTGTTCATATTCACTTGAGGTGGAGGACGCGCGAGACAAGATTGATAATCTCCTGCACGGGTCATACCCAGCAGCACGACTCCTGAAGTACACAAGCCGCAGCATTCCCTGAGTTGAAGTTCAACGTTCAACAGTGCTAGCTTGAAGCCCGAGGAGCGATAGCTTTGTAACGAGACGCTAAGCAAGCA